CTCAGCAAAGTGGAAATAGAGGGAGCATTCGTCAATATAATAAAGGCCATTTATGAGAGACCTACAGCCAATATCATACTCAATGGGCAAAAACTAAAAGCTTTTTCACTAAGATCAGGAACAAGACAAGGATGTCCACTTTCACCACTTCTATTCAATATAGTAATAGAAGTTTTGGCCACAGCGATCAGACAGGAAAAGGAAATAAAAGGCATCCAAATAGGAAAGGAGGAAGCAAAACTGTCACTGTTTGCAGATGACATGATAGTGTACATGGTAAATCCTATAGACTCTACCCAAAAACTGCTCCAACTAATTAATGAATTTGGCAAAACAGCAGGATACAAAGTCAATATCCAGAAATCAAAGGCATTTTTGTATACTAACAATGAATCAGCAGAAGCAGAAATCAAGGAAAAAATCCCATTCAATATAGCAAAAAGAAAAATAAAATATCTGGGAACAAACCTAACTAAGGAGGTAAAAGACCTGTATGCAGAAAACTACACAGCCCTGAAGAAAGAAATCAGGGAAGACACCAACAAATGGAAACATATACCTTGTTCATGGATTGGAAGAATTAACATCATCAAAATGTCCACACTACCCAAAGCAATAGACAGATTCAATGAAATACCTATTAAAGTACCAATGGCATATTTCACAGACATAGAACAAACACTTCAAAAATTTATATGGAATCATAAATGAGCCTGAATAGCAGCTGCTCTTTTGAGAAAGAAGAACAAAGTAGGAGGGATCACAATACCTGATATCAAACTGTATTACAAAGCCACTGTAATCAAAACAGCCTGGTACTGGCATCAAAACAGGCACATAGACCAATGGAACAGAACAGAGAGTCCAGAAATCAACCCAACTCTCTACAGTCAATTAATATTTGACAAAGGGGGCAGTAACATAAAATGAAGTAAAGATAGCCTCTTCAGCAAATGGTGTTGGGAGAACTGGACAGCTACGTGCAAAAAAATGAAACTTGAGCACCAACTTACACCATATACCAAAATAAATTCAAGGTGGATAAAAGACTTAAATATAAGCTGTGACACCATTAAAGTCCTAGAGGAGAACATTGGCAAGAAAATCTCAGATATTCCACACAGCAGCATTTTTACCAATATGTCCCCTAGAGCAAGGAATATAAAGGAAAGAATAAACAAATGGGATCTCATCAAAATAAAAAGCTTCTGCATGGCTAAAGAAAACAGTATTAAATTTAAAAGACAACCAACTGTATGGGAAAACATATTTGCCAATGATACCTCAGACAAAGGTTTAATCTCCAAAATATACAAAGAACTTACATGACTCCACTCTAGGAAGACATCTAACCCAATTAAAAAATGGGAAAAGGACTTGAACAGACACTTCTCCAAAGAGGACATACAGAATATCCAGAGACACATGAAGAGATGCTCAATATTGTTAGCTATCAGAGAGATGCAAAGTAAAACCACAATGAGATACCGCTTTACACCAGTCAGGATGGCTATCATAAACAAAGCAACAAACAACAAATGTTGGAGAGGTTGTGGGGAAAAGGGTCCTTAGTTCACTGTTGGTGGGATTGCAGACTGCTACAACCATTATGGAAAACACTATGGAATTTTCTCAGAAAAATAAAAATCGACCTGCCTTTTGACCCAGCAATTCCACTGCTAGGATTATATCCTAAGAATCCTAAAATATCAATTTCAAAGAACCTATGCACCACAATGTTCATAGCAGCACAATTTACAATAGCCAAGAGTTGGAAGCAACCTAGGTGCCCATCAGTAAATGAATGGATCCAAAAATTGTGGTACATATACACAATGGAATTCTATGCTGCAGAGAGAAAGAAGGAGCTACTACCCTTTGCAACAACATGGATGGAACTGGAAAGCATTATGCTGAGTGAAATAGGCCAGGCATTGAAGGACAAATACCATATGATCTCACCTTTGACAGGAAGCTAAACAATAAAACAAACAAGCAAACAGAATAAAAACAAAGACACTGAAATAGAGAACAAGGGGGTAGCGACCAGATGGGAGAGGGAAGGGAATTTAAGGGGAAAAATGGGGAGGGATTTTGAGGAACAAGTATGAAAGACACAGGGATGAGGACTGGGGGGGCGGGAAATGGGAGGGAGGTGGGGAGATGGGGCGGGGGTGGGGACTGGGATGGGAGAAATAGACAAAAAAAATGTACTTGAAAAATAATTAAATAAGAATTAAAAAATACAGTAAGTGAAATAAAAAAGGATTAAAATACCACACTAGAAAATAAATATTTAACACAAAATAAGTCAATAATGGAGGAATAGAGTCAATAATGGAGAAATAAAAAAAGACATTGAAATATAGAAGAGAAATAGCAAAATGGCAAGCATAAATTTTAATTGACTAATTATATTAAATGTAAATAGATTAAACTTTCCAATAAAAGGGCAGAGATTGGAAGAATAGATTTAAAAACGTGATTCAACCATATGCTGTCTTTAAGGGAATTGCTTTACTTTTCATTTTAAAGATTTTTATTTATTTTTAGAGAGAAACATTAATGACATGGGAGAGAAACATCTATGTGTTGCCTCTTGCATGCACCCAGCTGCAGACTTGGCCCACAACCCGGCATGTGCCCTGATGGAAAATTGAACCAGCAATGTTTCAGTTTGCAAGCCAGTACCCAATCCACTGAGCCACACCTACCAGGGTAAGATTCACTTTAGATTCAAAGGCACAAATAGGTTGAAAGTAAAAATATAGAAAAATTATACCATGCAAACAGGTATAATTATACCAGCAAACATGCTGTTGTGACTATACTAATATCAGACAAAATAGACTTTAGACAAAAATTGCTACTAGAGACAAAGAAGGACAGTTTTAATTCATCAAGAAGACGTAAACAATTATAAACACATGTTAGCCTAAAAGTAGAGCCCCAAAATACATGCAGAAAACTGAGGTCTTTAAAAGCGGTGCAGGAGGAGAAGGCAGTTCTGACCTAAATACTTGACCCCTGTGACCCATTATGGTGCTTAATAATCTACCACTAGGAATTCATTCCTTTGGTTTAAAGTTTTTACTTCTTTAGAGTTCTTTGTTAAATTATAAACATAGCCCTGAAGCCAGCCATCTGCATTAACACCTGCCAGATTGGTTTAAGATCCTTTGGAACAGTGACTTTTGGTGAAAGAGACAAAGGGCTGAGCCATTTTTGATAGACACAGACATGGTCTGGAGAGGGCCAGGGGGAGAGTAGGAAAGAGGGAGTCCAAGCCTGGGTAGAGGTATTGAGAATGGAGAAAAAGTACAGGATGGGGAGAGGTGGAAGAAAGCTAGGGTATCACAGAAACAGAAAAGATCCCAATGAAACTGTAAAGGAAAGTGAATGATAACAATAAGCAAAGCAACTAGGGTGTTGGTTTGGTGTTGGAGCTCATGGTTTGGCAACTCAGGACTGAGGGCAGAAGAAGACACCAGAAAGAAGCACAAGGAATCAGAATAGGGGAACAAGGGAGGAGCCAGGGATGGTAATGAGCCCATGTCATTCCCAGGTAAACACCCAGGAGCTGGCATCAGGTTTGAGCTGCCATCTGAGTCCTGGAGAACTACAGGCAGGGACTTTGAATGGACTGTGGGCCTAAAGCTGTAGGCACTGACTGGGAAACCAAAGGGAGGGCAGGGCCATGAGGTAAAACCAGATACAAGCTCATCAGCCAGGCAAATGGGCCAGGTAATTGGGCACTCAAATGTTATGTTTGTGGGATTGCCCAGTTTTCAGGTAGATGCTTGGTGTTAGTTGGTTCTAATCTGAAAATGAAGCAAAGCAAAGGGTCTGGGTAGTAAATGAGCAGTGACAACAATAACAGCCCCTACTTGTTAGCACCAGCTATGTCCTGGGCACTGTGCTAAGTACTTTACCTATGTTGCTTTATTTATTACTTAAAATATCCCCGTGATGTTGACATTGAAACCTCCAATCTATAGATGAACATGTAACCTGATGAAGTGACTTGCTCAAGATCATAACAGCAATGTAAATGGGATGGAGACAGGTTTTTTGTAATATCACTGCTGGCTTCGGGCTAGGCTGACAGTCCCTGGGGTGACTTCGATTACCATGGTGGCTTAAAAGCAATGAGACAGAAGCAGGGAGGGTGGCTGAGACCTGGGAACACAGAACTTCTCAGAGTTTCTCTGTGTCCCCAGTGCTCCACATTTTTTCAAGTGTGGTTGGAAAAGGGGGCATCAGAGGCCCACGACTCTTCTCACCCCTCTCTCTTGGGAGCTTTGAGGATTCATGGGGATTTACTGCATGTGATAGAAGGCCAGGCACTAGGGGCATCCCACCCTGCTCTAAATCCTGAATTCACTTTTTCTAAAAGAAAAATGCAGCCCCGGGCCAGGGATTAGGTGCTCAGGGATAAATGCATGTATGGGTTTAGGGAGCCCAAGGGATGGCCTACTTGCCCCACAAATCTCAACCGTCATCCCTGTTTCCATCAGAAGTGGGATAGCTGTTGTCCTTTCTCCTTGGCTATCCCCACTTTCTACCCACACTCCACACACACACACATAACAACCAGTATTCACACAGCAACACACAGATATGAGAGGGCCATTTCTGGGTGACCCAGCCCCCATGCATCCCACTAATGAGACCTTCACCAGTGCCCTCTCTTAGGGAAATGAGTGTCCTGTGAGTTCCCCCCGAAATTTGACTGGGGGCCAGGGTAGCCTAAGTTGGAAAATAATCATGTCATCATAAGCATTCTGAGAGGACAGAACCTAAAGCATCAAATGGCTCACCCTTCATTTTATTGATGAGATGGGCACCCAGGGAGGGACCTGCTTTGCCGGAGATCATGGAGCATTTCCTGGTGCTCATTGCTGGTTTTCCTTCTCACCCTTCATGGGCAACCTGGTGCCTATGAAAAAGGGCTGGATGACAGAGAGGGAGGAGCCTGCAAGAAGGAAGTATGCACTCACCTGGTGACCCATGGGGCTCTGACCCTTTCTTGGGTAGAGGCTGCAGGGAACAGTCTTGGGAACTCTGGCTTCTCCCCAGCCTGGATAACTATGTGCACTTCATCACCCAATCTCTTTTAGGAGCCCGGGGCTATAGCCTGAAAATGGTGATTGGCAGGGATCTTTATGGTCTTTCATCCAGCTTCCCACCCAGGGCACGAGTGCCCTCCTGAGCACTGCTGACAGCCAGCCAGTGATGCTAGAGCCCTGCCCTCAGCTGGAAACCCACCGGCACCAGCTGTAGGAATCACCACAGGCCCAGGTCAGTCCCTTAATCTGAGGGCCCCCATGCTGCTGCAGTCACAGGAGTGCCAAGGCCAACAGCAACACTGTACACAAACAGCAGCAAAATGTCACCATCAGAGCCATATTTTATTTTTTTAAATACAGTCTTCTGAAAAAAAATCAAATATAATGAAGTTAGTAACTATGTACCTGATGTTGGGCCTCAACACTGGCATGTCAATCTACCCCATTAACCATCATGTACGATTTTTCAAAGAGCTATTTTGAGAAACATTTAGAAAATGGCTTTACATAGCTACAGTTTATTTATACCTTCCAGAAATGGTCTCTTTGTTGAGCAGCAGATGGGATTTCCCCCCAGTTTTCTTTTCATCTCTGGAGGTTATGCAGCAAATGAGCCCACTCCCTAACCCCAGGCACACATTTATCACCCCAAGGCTACCTGGGAGTCCTGGCTGTGGGTGGGCGGTAAGGAGAAAAGGCTGTAGGTTCCTTGTAATGCACTGTTCCAGCAAACCCACTGGGGCAAATGCCAAAGCCCTGTGGATGCTGAGAGAGGCTGGGCCCTGAAGCCTGGAAAAGAACAGAACCCCTGGGGTCAGGGGTAAGGGGTAGGGAATAAGATGTGGGTACTCTGGTTTGCTCCCCTCAACACCATGCAGGTATCTTGAGGTCCAGGAAGCATATGCCAAGAGTGTCCCACTGGCGTCCAGAGAACAGGAGCCAAAGCCAGACCAACCACCCTGGCATTCGTTGCCCAAGTGCTATATCTGTGGCCTGCAGGAAGCAACAAGTCAGCCCTGCACAGTTACCGTGGCAACTGTAGTGCTGAAGCTCCTAAAGGCAAGGGTGGGAAGGAGGAGGGAGATGGAGAAGGCACATGGTGGCTTTTCTGGAAAAACCCATCTATTTCTTTTTCCTAGGAAGTCAATCTGGAAGAGTGGGGGGAAGAAGGGAAAAGAATGGGCATCTGGGGTCTAGAGAAAGTAGGGTGAGAAAAGACTTCAACATGCTCCAAGAGCAGCTTTCCTGGCTGGAGGTGCTCCCCTTCTTTATGGGGGAGGCAAGTAAAAGGACAAAGGTCTGGGCTGGCCTTGGTAGGGGCATCTGTGCAAGAGCCATGTGCTAGATTCATTGCAGGTCCTGTGACCCTAGGCCTGGGTAGAGCAGTCCTGGGAGGTGCCTATCAGCCACAGCAGGTTTTCTTCTTGGCAGGGTAATCAACCTGGATGGTGTCTTCCCTCACTGTGTCTTCTTGCTCCTTGAGGATCCTGGCAGAGTGGAAGGTATACTGTCAGGGTCATAATGACAGACCCCAACCTCACCAGAGCATCAGAGAGAGTATTCCAAGTCTCCCTCTGTGGAGTACAAATACATAACTGTAATTTGTAAAGCCAGAGTTTAGTTAATATGGATCCTTCACACCTCTTCCAGGAAGCCTCCCCAATCATCTAGGTGTTGTAAGGGCTCTGATGGCACTTTGACCCTTCCATTATAACCCCATTGGTCCCTTAATTACTGAAGGAGTTGCTGAGAGCAGAGACTGCATCTTTTATTCCTGTGTCTCTGCAGCCTATCACAGTGCCCAGAACACAGTATAGGCTCAGAACATATATTTCTTACTTAGTAACCATGGAAGGGCTGTCCCATGTGGCCACAGCTCCAGGTTAAATGTAGGAGGTAAAGGGTTAAAAATAGTGTTAAGTATCTTATCCCTGTTTTATACTGTCAAAGTGCTTTTACCTTCCACATCTGTTCTGATACTCACAACAACCTGTGAGTGGGCAGGGAGGGTATGACTGATGTTCTTATATTAGCAGCAAAGCTCAAAAAGGTAGGGTCACTTGCTCTAAAAATCAGTGTCAGAGAAAAGCTTAGAACTTTCCCCATGGTCTTCCATAACCCCAGAACCTCACTAATGAATAAAATAAGTTGTTCTGGGTTCTTAATTACTCAAATAAAAATATTTTTAGATGCCCCAGAATGAATGCTGAGCACAAATGAGTACTATTAAGTAAGTGCTTATGTGAGCTGGGTGGATGGATGGAATGAAACAAATGCCTAGATAGATAAATGAGTGAATGTTCAAGTATGGAAAACAGGGCCCTGTATGTGGTGTTGTTCTCTTAATTTTGGTGTAGACAGAGGCTTATGGAATCCATCCTTGAGTGCCATCCCCTTGGGTGGCTCTGGTCTCCCATCATAGCCCCTCCTCTCCTTGCCTCTGCCTCCCATTCCCCACAAGCCCTATCCCCTCCTTGTTCCCAGCTGGCTGTCAACTAACCCCTGCTAAGATATTAGCCAGTGTTGGAGGACCTATGACATGACCTTTCCCAGGAGCATTTGCATTGAAAAAGAGAATTCCTGGGGAAAATGCAGCCTTTAAGATGCAGTGACAGTCAGGGAGACTTTCTTTTGGGCCTTATTGTGTTTCATAAGGCTGTCTCTCACTCCTGGAATGCCACACAGAGGCCTGGCCACCAGCCCCTTTACCCAGAGGCTTAGGCAGAGAGAAGACAGACCCAGAGGTCAGAGGTGGGGGAGTGGAGGTTGGTGGTGAATGCAGTGGTCCCTATCCAGACCAGCATAGTCTAGTCACATCGCCCACTGAGCTGTGTCTCTACCTGGCCAGATGGAGCACGGACTCTTTGGTGTTGTGACCGGAATAGGCACTGCATTCATAGAAGATCAAATTGTTCTCCTAGAATCATAAAACAGAGGGAATAAATTGGGGGGGGGGGCAGGGGACTGTGGGGTGGGAAGAGAACATGCTGTCTGCATTCACCCACACCCCTGCTTCGTTCCATAATCCCCTTAAATTCTTTTACCCTCTCACTACTCTCTGAGAGGTTGATTTCTGTCTCCTCAGGCAACCTCACTAATGCAAGTTCTGTAACTATGTCCCAGGTGAGCTATAATAATTGTAAAACAACAAAACCATAAGCTGTTTGACACTTTCTTAAATTGCTCCCAGGTAGAGTACATACATGCTCATTTCCTTTTCCACCAGCCTGGATGCAGGCAAAGACACAGAGGCCTGGGGGATGACATTCTTCCACTTCACAGGCAGGAAAACTGAGGCTAGAGAGGGCGTAAGTAGCCAGCCTGCTCCAGTCACATATTCAGCTAATGGCAGCATGCTTTTCCCAGGACACTGACATGCCATAGGCCCTGGGGCAGATGTCACTCTAATAGGAATTCTTCACACCAGTTAGTTAGTGCTCCAGCTGCCCAGGCTGTCAGCACTGGTGCCACCGGACAACTGTCCATCACTGGGCAGAGTCTGTGCTACATGCACAGCAGGGCCCTTGGCCAAGGCTCATTCTAGTCCATTTATCACTCCCATTAATAGCTGTCCTGCTTCCTTATGACAATGTTAATGGCATTGAGGTCTTGAGGCTGATGCCCTGTAGGGACACAGGCAGTTGAGCAAGGATACTTATTTTGTGGCTGCAGATCAGAAGGCTCTGCAAATGCTGACTCCCAATTTAGCTTTTCTGCTCCACACTCCACAGACCCAGCTCTGTCCTCTGCCCTCTTCAGACCCCACCCTTCAGTCTGACCCTGACTCCTGGCCAGTCTGTGAAGGACAAAGGCTCCACGTTTGGGGGAGGAAGAGTGCATAGGCCCTGGAATTGAAAGCTTAAGACTTGTCTTCCAGCTTCAAGTCGAGACTGCCCCTGAGGAGCTGTGTGACAATTGGAATAAATCACTTAGTTTCTCTGAGCCTCAGTTTTTGTTTCACTGACCAAAAAAAGAAAAAAGAAAAAAACTGAGATAATAAAAATGCAGGTCCTGCAGTTCCATAGTCAAAGTCCTTGAATCCAGGTATATTTTAGAATCCAGAAATTTTGAGTTTCAGAAAGTTAATTCATGTATGCACTACATTACATAACACAACACCCTCAATGGGTCTGGGACAGCATCGTATAATCAAACATATTCAGTGAAATATTTCATCAGTGAATTAATATTTTGTCAGTGAAACATTTGAATATTCAAAGTGTAACATACAATGATTGCCAATAACTGCATGTCAATTCTGGTCAGAGTTTTCTTCCAGATGAAATGCAAATCTCTTTTTGTTTTCAGAGCTTTTTGGATTTCGGAATTGAGGTTGAGGGACTGTGGACATGTAGCTACTTGGTGAGCTTGCACAGGAATACCTGTTAGGCCCTTCTTCCTCCCTTTTCCTTGAATCTTACCATCGTACTCTTTTCCCAGACCCTGAGGCCATGAACCTCTGTTTAGATTGAGCACACTAAGAATTATGAATCCTGGGGCCAGACAGCACTCCCATTTTTCTGGATACATGGTTCCCTGAAAGCTACACTGAGGAGTGGGAACAGCCCAGGAGCAAGCACTGAATGTTTTGCTGCTTGATTTCCATCAAGCCCTGTTGCTTCTGGGCTTGGACAAGAGGCCTGCTGCTTATTTTATTGGTAGGCTATCCAATAAATGCCCTGCATTTATTTTGATTTCACGGCTTTGAGGCTCGGTCTTGGTAGAAAGGATGAATTCTCTAACAAAGGTGTCCAAAGAAAAGTCAGCCTTGCAGTTAGTGAGTGTTTCATCCCTGAAGGTGAACAAGTGGAAACATAGACAATGAGGTTCAAGCATCAGATAGGGCCTAAAATAAGTAACTTCTTGCTATCTAAGAATTTATAATTCTGAGCTCTAAGGGAAAGAATTTGAGAAAATTCCCCATACCCTAGTCATCCCTAGCCCACTCCAACTTAAAATCCATGGCTTTCTATGCAAAGTCCTGCATGCACAGGAGCTGGACCATTCCCATGACACCAAGACACCCATCACGCGCACTTGCTTTCTTTCCTGGGTCTTTCCAGAGAAGGTTCCCACCAAGGCTCTAGGGTGATGCCCAACTGTTGTCAGGTCCCATCCTGTTCACAGAGATGGAAATGCCTGCTCTTTACCTTGGCAAGCTGTTCTCCAAGGCCCCGGGGTACTTCCCGCTCTTTCTCGTTGTCAATTTTATTGCCCAGCAGAAGTACAGGAATGCGGTCTCCCACAGCTTCCTGCAGAACAGACAATCCCCCAAGTAAGAGGAGGATCCATACAAAGAACCCAGATGAACAGGCTTGAAACACTGGATGGAAAAGTACATCTGATTTGAGAATCCCCTGCTGCCACAATAGGCCAGGCAATAACAGCCATCCTGAAAGCTGAGTGACAGAGCCACCTTCTCTGGGAGCCTCAGAGTACAAGGCTTCAGCAGCATGCCTGAGGCCTGCCTCTGGTTGCCTCTGGGTGCCTCTGGGTACCTCTAGGCCCTGTCAATGCAGTGACCCCTCCCTCCCTCATCACTCTCCTTGGATGCTAGACAGATCATACAAGGCCCCCTAGGTGTGCTGGGAGTGGGTGTTTAGATGAGGGCTCTGTTGGACTATGTGCCCTTTTCCAGGGCTTACAGCACCCCTGAGGGCATTTCTTCATAACCAGCTTTAGTCTGAATGAACCTAAATAAACCAGGAAGAACAAAAGGAATGAATGCCATGTGGTTTGGAGCTGTTCTAGGGGCTGCTGTGATGAGAAGTGGCATTTGCAGGGGCCTCATATTGGGCACGTGAGCTCCCTAAGGGTTGGGTCCAAATCTGATGCATGGTATTGGGTCCACAGTGCCTGAAAAATGATGGTGTGTGACTCATTAGAGGTTACCGCATGGGGTGCTGCACAGCCCTGTCAGGGGGTACTCTGGATCTGAAGGAAGCTCTGCCCGGGGAAGAACTGTGTGACTATAGCAACTGCACTTTCTTGGGCCAGAAGTAACAGGTTTATTCGAGGGGTCAACCCCATTCACCACTCCTGCAATTGTGGCTGATCAGCAGGGCCGGTGCATCCCGGGTCCCTGCACCACGAAGTCTTCCCTTGTAAAATGAGAGCACTGTTCATCCACCTCCTGAGAGCAAAGGGCCCAGGCCTCACAGTTATTAAGTGAGTAAACAGGGTAACATTCACATTTAAGCAGGTTGCTAGTTTTTATTTTATGAGATATTTAATTAGGGTTTTTTATCATAACTTGGTAATGAATAATTATTCATTGTAGTTAAATGTTTTACTAATAGAGAAGGCTGTGGGATAATAGTCATAGTTTTGCCAATAGTTCAGCTACTTGATGTTACCATTTCAAATAAATGTCCAAAGTCCATCTGACAGGTATACCTATTTTAAATTTAAATGCAATTACATTTGAAATTAAGCTTCAATAATTTCTTAATCTACAATTCACTTTTATTGCAGTTCGGTCATGAAAAAAATTATTAAATGAGAATATTAAGGTTCAGAGAATTCAAAAGAACATTCAACATCAAAGCTGCTGAGTTATAAGGACCCTTTGGTAGACAGGCCCATGATTTTCTAATGTTTTCCTCTAAAATCTGATGTCCAACAAACTCTCTGCTATTTAATGTCTTATTGACTGGAACTCTCTAAAAATGGTATTTCCATATATCCATGGTAAGATGGTAAATAATGTTGGTAACGATGACTCAAAGGCACTACAGGATCTTACATTGTCTTCAAAATAGATTCAATTATATGTACTGTAGCAGATGTGTTACCTGGAGTGCATCATATTACAATAATTTGTAAGTGAAAAACCCACTTATGGCATGTAGAAAATGCTGTGGCTCCCTATTACCAGAGTGTGGATTAATGGGAATACCCTCATTCTCTGACTGTGCTATGCCACAGAAACTTGGGAAACAGTTTTTCACAGAAAGGAAGAAAAGAGGAGGGAGGAAAGAAATGGGCCAAAAGGCTTGTTGATTGGAGCACAGGAGAGATATTTGTAGATATGTGTGAGGAATGACTAAAGCTTGTGGGATTTTTTGACATGGAAACTCTGAAAATATGAGCATCAGATTTGAAATCTCAGGGCAGAAGCAGAAGTCTAACCAGATTCTGGTATATGGGTGATGACTTCACTCTCCTCCTCCCAAATGGGAGGCTAGGAACAATCATAAGCCTAACACCTGACCCCTTGCACCACACACAGTAGTGTGCCTCTTGGGAAAAGAAGGGTCAGTCTTCTTTTTAAAATAAATTTCTGTATATAAAAATAGAAGAGATAAGAAGGAGCAGGAAACATCCATGTCCCCAGCTGGAGCTGTGGTTTCTGCTCTCTGCATCATCCCTCTTACATAGACTCTCTGGAAAACCCACTTCCCCTTCATGGGCCATGGCCTGCCACTGACAAAAGAGAATTAGTCTCTCTCCAAACACATGGCAAAAATATATAAGGAGAAGTCTGGAGAGTGAGCTATCACGGGCAGTCAATGGACATTACTCCAGCCCAAAATCAATCTCTGACCCAGGGCCATAGGGAAGGGTTGGGACTGGGGTGGCTGTCTCACAGCCCCCTCTCACTTTAACCTCTGCCTAAACTTTAACCCCTTTTCATACATTACTGATTTTCAGCCTATATATTGCTTGGCACAAAGATGCTTATAATTTTCCACCAGATGAAGGAACATTTCCCTTTAAAAGTCCAAAGAACACCTCCTCTGGAGAACAAGCCTAAGGCCCACCCAACCTCTGTTGACCTCCTATAGATGTTAGTAAAATCCCATAGGTGTGCCAGGCCAGACAGAAGGAACTGAAGCCCCTTAGCTGGGTACACATTCTCTCTGTTTGAGACCTGGCTTGGTCCTGCATATGCTGTCCCTCTGTGGGGCTTGCCCCAGTTGCTCCTCTTTGCTCCTCTCTTCTCTGAGCTGTGAAATAGGCCTCTAAAGCTGGTTTCTGTCCTCTGACTTAGATATGGAAGCCTCTCTACACCTTCAATCATGTTAGTTGCCTTTCTGTGAACTTGAGTTTATTGGAAGACAGACTAATTAAAATTCAAAAGATTACACATCTCTTACTTTAAATAACAAGGGCTGTCAATTTGAAACAGAAGATTGACATTCAGCTCTGAATGTGCAGCTGTTGGGTTTGGTGCGTTGTTGTTGTTGGTGGTGGTGGTAGTGGTGGTGGTATGTGTATGTGTATGTGTATGTGTATGTGTGCGTGTGAAGATCTATTTGCTGGGAGGCAAGAAAAGCACTTAACCAGGATTGTGATGCTATTTCTCTGGAGCCAGAACAAAAAATTCTCAGCACATTAAAGCTTGCAGTTATGCTAAGCAAAAAAAAAAAAAAAGAGTGCAAAATTATATCTTGGGGGTTTCCATATTTATCCACCCCCTGGCCTATGAGTCAAAACAAGATTTATTTGTGTAGTTCGTTTAAACTGCAAGCACTTCAAGCTCAACTTGAAATGTGGGGGAAAAAATCAAACTGCTATTTTTTGCTCTGTGCTGCACATTGTCACCAATGATAAAGATCACAGAATGAGAATTAGCTAGCAGTCCACGAGAGGACAGGAAAGTGGGGCTGACCCCTTTCAGTTGAAGAACTGTTCTGCTTTGAGACAAAGGCTGGAAGGACTGAAAAAGAAATGAACCTATATTTTTGAAGCAGATTTCAGCCATGGGCCATGTGATGAGAGAGAAGCATAATACAGTGGCAAAGCCCTAGATTTGGGTTCTGGCTGTGCTGTCTGACAAGCCATGGATGCCTTTAGACAGGTCACTTCCTCTCCCTGGATCTCAGAATTTCTCATCTATAAAACAAGAGGCTGCACTGGATTAATCTCCAAGTTTTTTTCCAGCTCAAAGACACTAATCTTGCTGGCTTAATAATGCCCATCATATCCCACTTCCTTGACTTACAGATCTAACAATATAGGGCTATAGAATGACAAAGAATTTTTTAAAATAGAAGTTCAACATGCCAGGGCTGCAGATACTTGGGATCAAAAATCTGGCTCATACTAAATCTTACTCTCTCTGATATGGCCCTAAGTCTTTAGAGGTCCAGTGTGTCCCATGGTCTAAACATGGGGCCTCTGGAGCTCAACCAGTTTCTTCTCTAGATTAAACTGTTTAATCCAGTCCCAGCAGCAAGGATGAAAAGGAGGTAGGGGAGGGTTGGGAATGCTGACTTGACAGGAATGACTAACTGCTTTGATTTCCTGTAAGGTGCATAGGAAATGTAAAATGGCAGAAGAATCAGCACACAGTGTGTCTGGGCCCGGTTTGGGCCTCTTCTGCAGAAGGCCTGCAGACAAGGTAAAGCTTCCCAGGTGGGAAGGATGAGGGAGGGTGAGGTAGGAGAACAGTCATGGGCACAGGATGTTTCTAACTCATAAAGCAAGGTTGTTCTCTTGTGAAAAAGGATTTGAGTTCCTTCTGGGCTAGAAGCATCCTCTAGGGTCCTCTGATACACACACACTCCTGACCCATCCTGCCCATCCCTGAGAGAGTCAATTGCTATACCCTGTAGAATGTGGGGGACAGGAGGGACCTTGCGGAGACTCCACTCCACTCCTTCATTCAGTGACTGGCCACAGTTTCATGGCCAGAAAGTGGCTGAGCTGGGATGGTAAAAACTTCCTATTCAAGGAACTCCATATCTTCTCTGAGCATTTGTTCCTACCACAGAACCTCTTCCAAGAGTGAGTCTTTGCCATGTATAATCTGAGGCAATTTTAGCTCTTTCTTCCTGTACTGCTTTTGAGGCTGTGGGAGGAAGGGGCACTGAGAACAGCTGGCTAGCATTCACTTAATAATAAGCCTTCAGAACCTGAAGCCTGTTATTAAAGCTCCCCCTCCACCCTCCCTTCCCCAGGTAAGGGAGTCAGCAAAGGGCTTGACACTCTGTGGAAAAATAAGATCTCCACAAATATAAAGTACTGATTATTTTCAGTTCCTCTCCAATCAAATTTGGTGTCAAGTTTTAATCTATCACCTGACATCTCTGATGGCTGGTTGCCAATGCAGAATAAGTTAGCTTTTCAAGAATCTTGAGAATTATTGCATTTATGATGCCACTGTTCCATGCTTCCAACACACAGTCTACCATCTGATACGGCCTTTTGCACTGCTCTTGACACACTGGGTCACCAAACTAGGTCCCTCAAACTGAGTCCTCAGGAGTGGCTTGTGAGTGCTAGACATGCAGGAGATACTCAGAAAATTCTTGAAGGGGCATTGACATCTTTAAATAAAATTTAGAGTCTCAAAGTATGGTCCTTAAACCAGCAGCATTTGAGTACTTGTTATAAATGCCCAGCCCAGACCTGCGGAGTCAGATTCTGCAATTTAACAAAATGTCCAGGAGATTCCTATGCCTATTTGAGCTTGAGAAGCACTTGTTTAGGCTGGGAACCATGGTAGCTGAGAACCACTTGGGAAACTGCAGTTTGTTTGTTTGTTCCCAGGCTCTGAATCATTCTGTCTCAGAGAGAAGGCCCTGGCACCTGTTTTGCCTGAAAGCTGCACAGGTGATCCTAATCCTGGGTTTATCCAGGTTTGAAATAGTCTTGTAGAGTTTAACTGTACCTCTTGCTAATTTTTAAAAAGGAGAACCCAAACTACAAATTATACAAAAAAGCCCCTCTACACACAAATAATTCTGAGTTAGCCACATGGACCTGCCATCTCAGCTTGGCTTCCTGAGCCCTTAGAGACACTAGGGCTCCATGGAGACTCCTGCCGGGTGCATGCTGCTGATGATTTTCAGCCCCGCCCCATACAGGAACATGCCAGACACTTAGCTCATGGCACAGTTTTTCTGAAGATGATTAAACTCATGCTTCAAGCTGTGACCATGGCCCTCTGATATTTTTTCACCTCCACCACCAGCTCAAATTCAACCTGATCTTCCATCTCTCCTAAATCTCAGGCTCTCTATGCAAAACAGGAGGCTTAGAAACTATATATGTTAATGATGGCAGAGAGGTCAGCTCCATAAATTAGTCTCCATTCATCCCTATTAATCCTAAACTATTTGAACTGCTTCTGCCCAGCTCTATTATATATCAAAATTCAAATACTGAGGTATACTTAAGTATTTGTGGCTAGGACATATATGACAAACCCACAGCTAACATCATACTCAATAATGAAAAGCCAAAAGTTTTCTCTGTAAGCTCAGGAACAAGACAGAAATGTCCACTTGCATTACTTTTATGCAACATAGTATTGCAAGTTCTGGCCATGGCAATCAGACAAGAAAAAGAAACAAAATGTGACCAAATTGGAAAGGAGGAAGTAAAACTGTTATTATTTTCAGATGATATAACACCATATATAGAAAGCTCAAAGATTGCACCACAAACCTATTGAAACTAATAAACAAATTCAGCAAAATAGCATATAAAATTATTATTTAAAATTGGTTACATTTTATGCACCAAAACAAATACTCAGAAAAATTATTAAGAAAGCAACCCCATTTACAATTTCATCAAAAAGAATAAAATACTTACAAATAAATTTAACCAAGGAAGTAAAAGACTTGCACTCAGAAAACTGTAAGACAATGAAGAAAGAAACCGAAGAAGATACAAACAAATGGAAGCATATACCATGCTCACAAATAGAAAGAATTAACATTATTAAAATGTTCATACTTCTCAAAGCCATCTACATTTTCAATGTCATCCTTATAAAAATATCAATGGCATTTTTCACTGAGTGAGAACAAATAATCCTAAAAGTTATATGAGACCACAAGATACTCTGAATAGACAAAGCAATTTTGAGAAAAAAAAAAGAACATAGTTGGAGGAATCACAATACATGATTTTGAATTATAGTGTAGGTTACAATAATCGAAACAATATGGTACTGGCACTAAAACAGACACAGATCAGTAGAACAAAATAGAGAACCCAGAAATAAACCCAAGTCTCTATGGTCAATTAATCTATTACAAAGAAGTTAAGAATATACAATTGAATAAAGGCAATCTCTTCAATAAATGGTGTTGGGAAAACTGGACAGATACATTCAAAATAATGAAAAAAATGTTCTTATACCATATACAAGAATACACTTAAAATGGATTAAAGACTTATATGTAAGACTCAAAACCATAAAAATCCCAGAAGGAAACATAGGAAACAAACTCTTTGACATCATTCTTAGCAATATTTTTTAAATATGTCTCTTCGGGCAAGGGAAACAAAAGAAAAAATAAACAAATGGGACTGCATCAAACTAAAAAGTTTTTGCACACCAAAGGAAAACATCAACAAAACAAAAAGACAGCCCACAGAATGGGAGAAGATATTCACCCAATGATATATCTGATAAGGGGTTAATGTCCAAAATATATAAGAAACTTATACAACTTAACAACAAAAAAAACCCTGATCTGATTAAAAAATAGGCAGAGGACTGAATAGACATTTGTCTCAAGAGGACACACAGCTGGTATATTAAAAGATTCTCAACATCACTAATTATCAAGAAAATAAAAATTAAAGCCACAGTGAGGTATCATCTCACACCTGTCAGAATGGAAATCGTCAATGAATCAACAAACAGCTGTTGGCAAGGATGTAGAGAAAAAGGAACCCTCATGCATCAGTGAGGCCCTATTAAAGGAAGACTGGTGCAGCCACCGTGGAAAACAGTATAAAGGGTCCTCAAAAAATTAAAAATAGAACTTCTTTCTGACCCAACAATTCCACTTCTAGGTATAGATTTGAAAAAACACAGAACACTAATTCCAAAGAATATATGTACCCCTATATTGATTGCAGCATTATTTACAATAGCCAAGATATAGGGAAGCAAGCTAAGTGGCCATCGATAGACAAATGGGTAAAGAAGATGTGGTGCACGTATACAATGGACTATTACTCAGACATAAAAAGGAATGAAATCCTGCCATCTGAGACAACATAAATAGGCCCAGAGGGCATTGTGCTGAGTGAATTACGTCAGACAGCAAAGACAAATACTGTATGATTTCACTTTATGTGAAATCTAAAAAACAAAATAAACTAACAAATGAAATAGAAACAAACTTATAGACACAGAGGACAAACTGACAGTCAGTAGATGAGAAAGGATTGGGGAGGACTGGTAAAAAAGGTGAAGGCAAGCACAAATTAAAGAAGTGCAAAATAGCAGTTACAGAATATTCATGGGAATGTAAAGTGCAGCACAGGGAATATAGTCAATGATATTGTAATAACTATGTGTGGTGCCAGATAAGTACTAGACTTATCGGGGTGATCACTGCATAAAATATATAAATGTCTAATCACTATTTCGTATACCTGAAACTAATATAATATTGTATATAAACTATAATTAAAAAAAACAAAAGAAAAATGCATGTGGCTGGGAAAAGAATGGGTGACCTTTTTATCCTTAAAGTCCAGGCCTCAATTTCCTAATTTGAGAACCCTCTCATCTAGCAAAATTGTGCCTGGGCCGCCAATACACCAAACTGAATGATGTACAGTGCCTCTGACTGACATGGGACTGAGGGGCCCAGACCAGTGACAGCCATGCCTTTCCCTGCCCTGCCCCAGTCCCTGGGGAGTGCCACTGTGACTTCAGGGTTCCAGCAGAGGAAGTTTGAAAACCACTGGGTCAGGTAAGCACAAAAGACTGCTGGAGCCTAATTTTTATGAGGAAGAAAAATCACTGGTGCTGTCAAAAAAAATCATGCCGGAAACCCCAAAGTTTAAATAGGAACTACTTCCAGGTTACCATACCATTTGCTTTCTTTATTAGGTTGGTATAGAGTCATTCAAAATGTACATTTTGTCTATTATAAGTGTTTTAGGGTCAATTTGTATTAAGCAAATTTCTGAGAAACTCTTCAGTCTGACTTCCATTCTTGTTCTTTATTTTGCAGGGAATAAGAAAGTTGTAGATTAAGAATAGAGAAAGGAGTGGCCCAACCAGTCCAAACTACAAAGGCAACAGATTTGGTGGGAAGAATCATAAATGCCAGGGACAAAAGGATGAAGAAATGAACAACTCCAGCATTTTGACTGCACAACCATACATATCTATCTGTTCATGCACCCAGCATTGGGTGAGTGCTAGTTCTGTGAGGACCCTGCAAGCACGGAGTTACAATGACAAAGGTGCACTTCAGTTCCCAGGAGGCACAGAGGGTAGCATGGATCCAAGGAGCAGCTATGTCCTGTACAGCAGTGCAACAGTGTGGTAAGTAGGTAAGGGGTCTAACGGATTTGAATAGTGGGTTAAATGTAAGCTCTGTGAGAATAGGAACATTGTTCCATTTACCTGCTGCTTTAATTCTCAGACCCTAGAAGGGTGGCTGGCAGTGTCTTGAACAAATAAATGAACAATGCATGCATTCTGCTGGTAGAAGAAATTGGGACATGCTACTTGACTGCTTTGTGAATGAATCAGTGAAGTCCTATTAAAGAAAGTTAAGTGGCTTGCCCAGTCTACCCTTGGCCTTGAGAAGTTTCCATTTGAGTGGTAAAGGGAAAACATGCAGATGATCAGGAAGTAAAAAGGGACATATTGCAAGTGTAAGTCAAAAGGCACAGTCTTACAAATAATGCAGAACTCAATCGAGAGTATTGTTGCTTTTGGGCCCTGCCTAGGGTGACTTGGGGTGAGCCTTGGACCTTCATATTGTAGATCAGTCTCCCCTGGTGGAAAGGGGTATGACTGAGGCCCCAAACACTGTGTGGTGTCACTCTTGGACAGGGCAAAGCTGGTTCTATTGGAGCTAGAAAAATGCAGGGGTTGGGGAGGTGGTGGTGAGAATGGGGGAACAGCACAGCTGTGACTCAGCTTAAAAAACCATTTCTTAGGGAGACCTTCCTTGACATTCTTCTCTGTGCCCCTCCTTTAATTCTGTCCCACTCATTCAGAGCACTTACTGAAATCCCAATGACACAATTATTGGTGGAATCGTGTGTGTGTGTATGTGTGTGTGTGTGTTTTATGTCTCATCCACTGGGACAGGGACTATGTCTGTCTTGGTCAGTTTAGAGACCCCAGCAGCTAGCTTGGTACTGGCACTTGGGTACATGAGCACACACGTGCCTGAATTGGATTGGTTTGCTCCTGGAGGACATGGGTACTGATCAGGTTTTAAAAGAGTAGAGGGCCAGGCAGGAGATGGGTAGAGAAGAAAGGAAAGGCAGGAAGCCAGCACAAGCGCTCCTAGGAAGTCACCAGCTCACCTCCACACTGCTCAGCCACTGCCGGACTGACAGGAAGGACTGTTTGGCTGTGAGGTCATACATGATGATGATGCCATCTGCCTTTCTGAAGAACTGCTGAGTGATGCAACAATACCTGCCACCGAAGGGCCACAGGTCAGGGGAAGCACAGTTTCCTCTCTGCAGCCCAGCACTGCAGCCCATTGGGAAAATGGAGGAGTTATATCAGGGATGGCTCCTCACCTCTCTTGTCCCGCCGTGTCCCACAGCTGTAGGGCCACCTGAGAGTCATCCACTTGCACCATCTTCACACGGTAATCGATGCCTGTAAGGTGGAATAGGCCTGTTACTTCCAAATGAGAATATGATGCCCCGACATGTCTGCAGTCATGTAAGGCCAAAGGTGACACTCCTCCTGTGTAGCTCCTGGGAGGTGATGTGGGGAAATGGACAGAGTGCTGGATAGGGAAGTGTGGAGCCTGATTCTATCTCTGCCATTTATTATGAAGTCACTTAACTCTGCGAACTGAAGGCTTTCCACTATAATACAATCCATACCCTCTTAGGGGTACTACAGTAAGGTTCAAATGAGATCACACATGTAAAAGCAATATGCCAGTGCAAAGACAATTGTTATTATTCATGTATTTACTCCCTCATTGCAAAAATGGAGGAGGAGGAAAGACTGTCCTAAAATTTCTCTTTCCCTCCCTCCCTCCCTTCCTTTTTCCTTCCTCCCTTCTTTCTTCTCTTTCTCCCTAATATCACTTTCAAAGCTCCCCTAATACTGTTCAAATATCCCAGGATAGGTCATACTTTCAGACTTCCATCAGCTACTGCAAAGGTATGTGGAGGAGCAGAAGGATGGGAAGGGATGGCAGGTGGAAGGAGAGCTAGAAGAGAAGAAAAAGGAAGGGGGAGGAGATCAAAGACAACATTCACCCTTGAGATGGGCTTAGAGCTCCTAATCCCAGCCACCGGGCCATTTGCAATTGTCTCTCTGAGGCAGTGACCCTACTTGGCATCATGGACCACAGAGAGAGGGGACAAGGTCAGGAACATGCATTCCGTGCTCACAGCGGCCCTCAGAACTTCTTTGATAATAGATATTCCTATTTCCTACATTATTTAACAATGTTCACAAGTGCTTAATGAGGTTGAAAAAGTCTCTGCCCCTTAAAGTATCAGACTTGCAAACTCCATCCCCTACCACCTTCGAAAAGGCCCAGCTTCTGAGGTCCTCACCCTGGAGGGCTTAGGGAGGAACAACAATAGCAGCTTGCACCAAAAAAGACAGAAGCGACTACAGAGACAACAAGGAGGCAGTAGATGGAAAGGTCATCCCAGCCATTGTTCCAGGCCAAGGCCAGGGCCCTGGGGCCCATGAGTGGAGGCCATGTGGGAGGGTCGCCACTCCTAGAGTGACTCTGGAGGCCCTGTGCTTCATGGGTGAGAGCCAGAGGGAGCAGTGCCTTTGTGAGGGTGCAGAAGAGAGCAGTTTGACTTGTTGGTGGAATGCTTGATATTTCTAGTTTCATATGCTATCTCTCCATCCTCACAGCACTCCCACTGTGACATCCATGTGTTACCCCCCACATGTGAGCATGCACGAACATGTACACATGCACACACATGTATATACATGCACACAAATATGTGCCTGAACTTCACACCACCCACCACACCTATGAGAGATGGAAAAACAGGAATCCAGATGGCGTGACTTGCCCAAGCTCATCAGCAGTGTCAGTGAGTTGCAAACCCAGCTCTGAGGCTCATTCTTCTTTTTACACCAGTACCCTGGGCACCAAGACACCTGACAGCTTCATTTTACCTAGAAAGTCCCGGGCTAAGTGCTTCCATCCAAATGGATTACAACTGACTGGAAGCTGAATCCAAGGTGAGCATTCTTCTTAGCTAAAAGTAGAAGGACTTCCCCAGTCTGTGCTCTGGGAGACTGAAGGGACTGCCCAGTTTCTGGCAACAACTCAAAAGAATACCAACCACTGTCCACACACCTTCAGGGCCTGACCTGAAACCAGCCAGCCCAAGGGGGGAAGCCCTGAGGACAGAACCTTCTCCTCGATGGAAAGGCTCAAAGGCAAAGGGGCAGCCAGGTCTCTGCTGCCTTCATGGTGCTGTTCTACCTCAATGGCAAATTATTTTGCTGGAGGACAGGATGCTTATCTTGCAGAGAGCGAGGTGTACCAAGGAGTGCTGGGAAAAAAGAGTTCAGTGCTGTGGTGAGCTTGGTGGGAGTCCCTGCTGGGTACTGGTCCTTCTCTTTATAGCCTCAGACAGACAGGTCCAGGAAGCAGATAAGTCCGTGGGTGGATAGGGGGAGTAGAGACATAAGGAGTCAAGTCAAACAGAAAAGGCAACACAGTAGCATAGTACCACAAGGTCTGAACTACACTGACTTCTGAGACTACCACCAGTTCTAACATCCCAGGAAACAGGCGACCATGTTTTTGTGTTCCTGTCTCAGTTATGCCTTTGACCAGCTATGTGACCTTAATGATATTACTTCATCTCATTTTGGGGGGATTCACTATCCTCATCTGTAAACTGGGGTGTGATGGAAGGTATGGAGGGGTAAATTGGGTGTTCAGGATCTATTCAGCTATCACATTCAATGAACACATGGAGGTGACCTCCAACTTGCAACCTAAGTGGTTCCTGAATGATGACGGGAAACCAGGAGCTCCTGTCACCACAAAGTGTGCTGTGTTGTGGGGTGGTGTGGGTTAGAGCTGGTGATGAACTCCAGGAAGGGGAACAAGACAGGTGTTATTTAGAGCGGGAGAACATGGGAGTGGGAGTGCCTGCAAGTTTTCATGGGGCAAATTCCAGGGATTTCTCTGTAGAGATGGGGAGTGGGATAGAGACCTAACTGGTGGCCAAGGGCAGAGTGCATTCTATTGGGAAAAGCAGGGGCCTGTGACCCAATGTGGGGCAGAGGAAAGAGCACTGAACTCAGAGTCCTGGGTTCCAGGGAGCTTTGGTCTCTAATAATCAGTCTTCTCATTTATAAAATGAGCTCCAATGTTCTGTAAAAACCATCTTTCAATATCTCTAGGACACCCACAAGGCTTCGTAAGCACCTACTATTGAAGGAATCGTGTGGTTCTAAGGTGGTGTAGGCAGGGTGCTCAAGGCACACTGCTGTATTGTAGAACTTACATTATGCACAAGCCAGGAGTCAAGTACAAGTCATGTTCCTGTAAGATGCTGGTGGGCCAGGAAGCCCCCTTTGATGATGGAAGTGAGCTTAAAGGGGCTCCCAAGTGTGTCGGTGCTGTGTTCGTGGTTCAGGGGCTGCTGCCCTGGACAGGGGGTTGGCGAGAGCTCCAATCTCAGGTTGGACTGCTTTGGAACTAGAGGGCCAGGACTCTATGGCTCTTTTGTCTCCCTACAGAGAGCATCTTTCAGGTGGCTGGTGAGACTGTGTGTACTGACATGTGCACCAGACCAAGTTATGTCACATGGCAGGGACACTGATTTGAGTTGCTGCTCTTGCATATTTTCCACAGTGTGATAAAGGGCATTCTTGAGTTGGAACCTTTGATATTTTTCTTCTCCCTATATCGTAGGTGTTTCCATAATAGGCCTCCTGAGAAGTGCAAATTAGTCTCATTTTCTCTTTTTAGAAACTTCCATCTCAGGGGCACAAGTTGGAGATGTAAACAGACCCTGATTCCCTGATTTCAACGGAGAAGCATTACAGGCACATGCCTGTCAGGGGGCCTTTGAGGGCCCGAGGTCTTAGCATCCACCCCCTGCCTCCCATGGGCCTGTGCTTGAGCCATGACTTGTGGGGGCACACCCCTCCAAATGATCTCTGGGGAAGGCAAGTCTACCTCACAGCTGCTGCTTCCTGCACTACTGTGCTTCGTGCATGTGGCTTAGCTCCAGCCCTTTTTTTCTAGGCCACAAGGCCAGACCAGGCCAGACCCTTTCAAGCTTATTTCACAGTCTCTGCCCTTCTTCCCATAAGGGTCCCCACTCTTCATTTTGGGGTACTCTCAGTTTGGGGATGGAATGGAGCAGAAGGGAGAAGACAGGAGGATATTCCAGATGTGGAATAGGAAAAGGCCCAGCAGTAAGAATGGCATCCTGAAGCATGTGGGAAGAGACCCATTTGCAGGAGCAGAGTTGAAAGGAAGGGCCAGTTCAGGATGAAAGGAAGAACATGGGGTTCCTTGGGAAGAGCTCTGGGCCAGGAAAAGTTTGTCTTGTGAGGCCAGCTGTCAGACAGCCAAAGGTCAAAGATGGCCTGGACAGAGGCTCGAGTTTAGAAGCAGTCTTTGTTCATTTTTCAGATGAGAAAAAGCTCAAGCTGAAAGAGGGAACGTGTCCACTGAAGTCACATAGCTGGTTAGTGGCAAAAGTGAGACAGAGATCCAGAATTTCTGATGCCCCACTGCACATTAGCAGCCTCCTCCACCTGTACCAACCTCTGTCCATCTCCTGTGAAAGGAAAATATCTTCAAAAATGTCCCCCTTGATACTGAGTGCTGAGCACTCAGTACAATTCAGTATTATTATTAGCAACACTATGGAATGGAACAGAAGGAGTGTGTGTAGGGTGAGAGGGAGGCCAGTTCTACACCAACCAGCTAATGGGAATGTGGACAAGCCTCTGGGCCTCAGTTTCCTGATCTGTCCATTGGGCTGATAACAATACTTAGCTCTCTGGGTTATTAGAAGATAGAGTAAAATGATGTGTATAAAAGCCCACGGTAAATATTCAGATCATATCATATTTTCAAATATAGTTGACTTATCAGTGAGGTTAAAGAGTACATAGTAGGCACTCAATGGATTTATTTTTTGCTTAAGTGATTCTACTTGGTAAAAGCTAAAAAGGTCAATATGCCTATGAGCTCAACACATATTCCAATAAAATAAGCAACTCTGGAAGAAGAGAAAAGGTCCTCTATCTAAATAACATTTTACCCAAGAGTGGGAATGCATTCATCCATGATCATCCACTAATAGATGGGCCCAATGAGCTCGTACAGCGAACTCTAGCTGTCACCCAGGAGGCCCTCCATGTAGGACGGGTAACATTTGCTGGGTAAAGGAGCCATCTAGGGCACTGTCCTCCAACCCACCCACCCACCCACACATAGGCACACTGGGAGGGGCAGGGTCCTGAAGCAGCTGGCCCATGGGGGAGGTATGGGTTGTAGTACGGGGGTAGGGAGCCTCAACAGGAGTGTGAAAATTCAGGGTCCTATTAAAGGTGGGGAAGGAATGATAAAAGGGAGACAGGCTCAGTGAGGGTATAGGGGCCTGAAGTCTACCTTTGCCAACTTCAGTTCCTCTCCTGCTGGACATAGGAAGCTTTCAGTGGTCCCATCCCACTGGAGTGAGCCTAGTACTCTGTAGGAGGCGGACTCACCTTGTCCCTCCCAGCCTCACTGTGAAGTGAGCAGACTGGCCTCCTCTCCTGAGGGTCCAGGGCCTTTTTCACCACGTTCCAAGCCCCTCTCTCAGCCCCCTTCTTGCAACCTCCCCCTCCCAGAGGCTGGCCAGGGCCCAGTCTAGGGGTGAGAACTTACCCACAGTGGCTGTCATGCCTGGGGAGAACCGGTCATCACAGAATCTCCTGAGGAAGGATGTCTTCCCTACAGCAGAGTTCCCCACAAACACAATCTTGAACAATTGGTCTGGGGTGGAGGGAGAGCCTTCTTCCTGTGGATGGTGGACATTGTGGCCAGCTGCTAGAATGGTCGTTAGCCCCTGCTCCCAACACAACTTGCCTGACCCCTGTCCCCACGGTGTCTGGGGGAGAGTGGGGACCTGGCCTCTGCACCAACACTGGGAGGCCACCCAGCCTCGGATATAGGTAGCTTTGGGCTCAGAGCATTGGCAGGAGGGAAGAAGGACATTCATTCAACGAATATTTGTTGTCTGCCTACAGTGTTGCAGGCCTTGTGTTGGGGCTGAAGATGCAGGGAGGAGGCCTGGTTTATGGTGGAATGAAGGAGGCAGGCATGGAAACAGTCTCAGCACAACGTTCCATCCAAGCACTCTGGGAGCAGGGAGGAGGAGCCAAGGATCCACAGAGCAGACACTCTGAGCTGGGGCTTAAGGTAGAGGCAGAGATTCTCTAGTGGGTGAAAGAGAGGATAAGGTGGGGTGTTTGCAGGAAGAGGGGAGACAGAAAAAAGAAGACTTATCTCTGCCACAGGGCTGAGACAGCCTGGACTGGGGTAGGGGCTTTTTTTTTCCTGCCCTTTCATTAGAAGACAGAGGATATTCTTGCCTCCTTGCCCTTTGCTCTTTGGTCCCATCTCATCAGCTTCCATCTAGGCTCCCCATCTGCCCTGAGAATGAAGGCAAGACAGTCTCCACCTAGTAGGCTGAGAATCTTTGATACCAGGCCACTGGGCAGAGCATTCCTGAGTCCACCAGCCACTGGCCCTCCTTCTTTGCTGCCCTGCAACAGGAGGGGCTGGCGGTTGGCCACCTATTAGTTTGGAATACTGAAGCCCAGCAGGGAATGGACTTGCTTAGACATTGAGGGAGAGAGAGGCCAAGTAAGGTCCCACCTTCCTGCAAAGCATAATTCCTTTCCTCCCAGCCATCCTTCCTTAGGGAGAGCTGTTTGCTCACTCTCCACTCTCTGCCTTCCTGCCTTCAGGCCCAGCCTAGTACTGCTGGGCCAAATGAGGAAATTCTTTTAAATCATTTAGAAATGGATTTAGGGGAATTAGCTCCTCTTGTTGAATAAATACTATAATGGAGTGGCAGTAGATCTTAGCAGTACTTGAGTTTCAGAGAAAAGCCATTAACAGGATTTTGGGGAGAAATCAATTCCATTTAGTACTTAAGTAGGAATTCAGGGTCAATTACAGGAATTTAAACTTAAAAAATACCCTCCACTTAAAAACTATGCCCCCTGCCTCATTTTCCTTACTCTTGCAATACCAAGGGCACCTGCTCGTTGCTGTCTCCACTCAGCCACTGTACTTCTAACTGTAATTTGTTTGAGACTACAGCTCCCAGCAGCAATCTTCATCTTCAGGCCCAGGAAGCCCAGGGTTGGAGGAGTGGGTCCTGGCTGCAGAGGCTGTACCTGACCCTTAGCCTGACCCCACCCCAACCCCCACCCCCAGACAGATCACTCACTTCTTAACAGGCCAAAGAAGATAAACACATTTTTTAATGGTTCAGCTCCAGGCTGAATGGTACAGCAACCTCCTACTGATGTCCATGCTCTTAACCCATGTCCCTTTTAGGAACAATCCACTGTGAGCCAGCTGGCCTGGGGCAAGGGGGCTGGAGAAAGGTCTGCTATTCCTTTCCCACCGCTTAAAAAAGGCTTTACAAATAAGAGTGATGCGTGCAATTTTTTGGAATTAGGAAATACAGGTAAGTAGGAAGGAAAATAATAATTATTTATAATCTCCCCTACCGCCTTGCAGTGGTCTATTCATGTTCTGATGCACTTCTTCTAGGCTTTTTTCCATATAGATGAAAGAACATATGTTTTATTGAGAGAAACTTCAGATAGTATTACTTTATTCTTTTCATATATTATTAAATTATAAGTATTTCTCTGGGTCACTAATTTTTTTATTAAAAAAATTTCTCTGGGTCACACATTTTTTTTGAAAATGTGATTTTAAAAATCACAGTAGTATAATAGTCTTTCGAATTAATATGCTATAGTTCATGTCCTACTGGTTTTTCAATTGTTTGCTATTATACACTTACATTCTTGCATTAAGTCTTTGTCTGACTGACTGGTTGTTTCTGACAAAAGAGTGCTAGAAGTAGAATTGACAGTTCAGCAGATGTGACATTTGTAAGTTCTTGATTCTTATGATCAAACTACTTTCCAGAAAGGTTGCACCAGTTGCTGGTTCAGCCATCTTGCATGGAGAGCCTGCCTTGCTGCAAGAGCAGAACCTCTACTGAGGCTGTTATGTGGCTCCTGGTAGATCATATTTCCTGATTGCTGCCGTCTCTCTCCCCAGCTAGGTGGAAGCCCAACCTGGTGGAGCCAAAATGTGTGAGAGCTGGGTGAGAAGACTGGGCCAGTCTGCATCCCTCTGGGCTTCACCTCCCCATCTGCCAGAAGGAAGAATAAATTTCAGATGCCTCCTCAGATAACTGCAAGGATCAGATGCCAGGGCAGACACAATGCTTGGCCCTTTTCCTTTACCCCTGGCTTCTTGACACTTCTTTCACATATGGGGAAAGGCGTGGGGTGCTGAAAACCCCATCGGTGCTCCCTGCCTGCATGTGTAGGTCTGTGTGCTGACAGATAGGGGGAGGGACCTCGCCCACCAGTGGATGATACTCATTTCTCCACCCTCCCTGGACATTGGGCCTCCACCATTACATCCTTTGGAAAAGTGATACATAAGCATGAGTCTTAATCTGGACCCAAGAATGACAGCTGATGCCAAAAAGGCCCTGCACAGTTGCCAGAGGAGTCCTCCTGTCACACATGCTAATACAGCCATGGAAATGCTCAAGGTGGCAAAGACTTGATTACAAAGGGCTGTCCCAGAGTGCAGAAAGGAGCTTCTTTCATACTTCCATGGACAATTCTAAAGTTGTTTTAGAGGGTCAAGTGGATAGTGGGGCAGGGATGTTCAAGGAGCCTATTCCTAGGCCCAGGTCACAAACAAGGTATGGAACATCATCACCTTGAACCAGAGGAGATGTTTTGGATGGTCTCCTTCTCCCTGCAGAGTTAGAGGAAGATCTGGTAGGGAAGTTCCAGTGGGATACGGGATTTAAGTATTACACTGAATCAGAAAAGAAAGCATAGGGTCAGGGAGTGGGGCAAACATCAGAAGTTATAAAGAGAATTCACCAGGGCCCCTGAGTGCCTTCCAGGACACTCAGCTAAGCAGGGGAAGATGGTATGGGAAGGACACAAATATGCTAACTCACAAGACCAGCTTCAACAGCCTTCTTGGGCTGCCTTTAGAACAAGGCATAGGGATAATGCCTAACTCCAAGGGGGGATGTGCCCTTACCTTAGACACAGCTTCCTTCCCAACAGGCTGTGTTCGGGGAGATGTGGGCATGAGCCGAGAAGGGCGGGCCTGCTGGGTTTCCCCACCCTGGTCAAAGACCTCCTCCTCTTCTGGACATCTGCTCAGTGGCTGCTCAAAACTACCCTCCAGGAGCTGGGGCAGGGGGTCTTCTTCAATGGAGATGATTCTGCGGAATGCCCGGGGGAGTGGACCTCCAGCCCCTTGCTCCCTGGTTCCTGGTTCCTCTTCTGTAAGGGGATACACACTCAGGCCCAGGGAGCTTTTCCTCCTCTGAATGCCAACCCCATCTTCTTCCTCCTCTGACTTGCTGTTTTGGGTGGGGAAGAAAGAAGAGCAGGAAGAAAATTGTAAAATGAATCAGTATGGAAGCCACACAGCTTTTCTGACTGATGATGAAAGGACACCATGCCTTGGGGGCAGAGATCTCCAGGAAAGGAACTAACAGACCTAGCATTCTTTAGTTCATTCAGTCAACATATTTATGTAAGTGCCAGATGATGAGAGTGATGATGGTGCAGGTGATGAAGATTATGGTGAAGGTGATGATGGTCTACCAGGTACTAAACTGATGTCACCATCATGAACAAATGGACAAAGCCCCTGTCCTCATGAAATGCTCAGCTGTGTGGAGGGGCTAAAGCAATAATGACACAATCAAATACATGTTTACAAGTTGTGAGAAATGCTGTGATGGAGGAGAAAAAGGTGTGAAGAAAGGAGCATAATAGATCTGGAAATAAAGGATCCTGGGTGACCCATCAGGTGGTCTTGGCTCTGGTTCCAATGCCAGCACTAACTAACTGTGTCCCCATGTAAAACACTTTGAGCCTCAGTTTCCTCACCATAAAATGTGCCCCACTGCCCTGTTGACTTTACAAATAAGGCAATGCATAAAAAAAGACATGCAAAGCAGCCCTTGGAAATGTGACAGAGGCGGATTGCTGCTCCTGAGTGCCCCCACTAATCAGACGTCTGAGAGGCAGCTGCCCACTAACAAACGGGCTTTGAGTCAGAAGGAAGCCAGGCAGGGTAACTCAACCTGCCTTTCCTTCCTTCCTTCTTTCTCATTCTGCAACCCTGCAAGTCAGAATAAGGAGGAGGTAGCCTCAGAGCCTAAGTGCATGTCTACTTCAAGAAGCATTTGAGCATCAAGAATGAGAAGCAGCAGGTGGTGCAGAGATGCTGGGCCACTGCACAAGCTGTACTTTCAGAGTTTTGGGGAGCAAAGGCCTCACAGATCCTTCCTGACACAGGTGTTCCCCTCAGGTCTTTGTGAGCAATTGAAGCTGAGAAGTATTTTAAAGGGGACAGAAGTTTTAACAGAGACTTCCACCAAGATGGAGGCATAGCTGGAGATGGCGTGCTTCCTCACACAACCAAGTTTAGAGACAACTAAATAACAGCAACAGAAAACATAGCTAGAACACAGAAAATTGAACTTTTTGGAAGTCTGATAACAACAAATTCTTCAGCCTGACCGGTAAAGGGTGAAACCAGCAGCTGGCAGAGTGGGGTAGCACAGGAAAACTCGGTCAGACGGACTCAGGCACGCAGAATCCAGGTGCAGGGTTGGACCTGGTGGGCAACTCAGCAAGCAATCGTGGGGAAACAGCAAGGTAGCAGGGCTGCGGGTTGACTGTGGTCACGCTTTCGTGTGTGGATAGACAAGTGAGGGAGTGGGCGATTGAACGAGAGCCAGCAGCCCTAGCGGCAAGCGGAGGCGAAGGGCGCTGCCATTTCCCTGCTCTGACCCCGCCTCCACATATAGCGCCATAATCCAGCGACCTAAGTGGCCCTGCCCCGGTGAACAACCAAAGGCTCTGCTCTTCATCCAGCTATGCAAAACAGCAGAGGGTGCCGCCATTTTCCCGCGCTGACCACGCCCCCACATACAGCATCACCACCCAGCAACCTGGGAGTCCAAGGCTCCCCTCCTAGTACTTAGCGGGGGTGAACAGAACAAAAATGGCTCAAGAAGATCTCAAAGCCCCAGAGCCTATAAATCTAAGTGATGAAGAAATAGCAAAACTCTCAGACACACAGTTTAAAATGCTGGTGATCAGGATCCTCACGGAACTGGTTGATTACAGCCACAAATTAGACAAATATGAATGCGAAACTAATTGAAATGAATGGAATTGCACAGGAAACCAATAGCGATGAAAAGGAAACTGGGACTCAAATTAATGGAGTGGACCAGAAGAAAGCAAATAATGGCCAAACAAAAGAATGAAGAGGCAAGAATTCAAAAAAATGAGGAGAGTCTTAGGAACCTCCAGGACATCTTTAAACGCTCCAACATCCGAATTATAGGGGTACCAGAAGGGGAAAAGGCACAGCTACAAATGGAAAACTTATTTGAGCAAATAATAAAGGAGAACTTCCCCAATCTGGCAAAGGAAATAGACTTCCAGGAAATCCAGGAAGCTCAGAGAGTCCCAAAGAAGTTGGACCCAAGAAGAAACACACCAAGGCACATCATCATTACATTAGCCAAGATTCAAATGAAGGAGAGAATCCTAGAAGCAGCAAGAGATAAGGGGACAGTCACCTACAAAGGACTTCCCATCAGACTGTCAACAGATTTCTCAAGAGACCTTACAGGCAAGAAGGGGCTGGAAAGAAGTATTTCAAGTCATTAAAACCAAAGACCTACAACCAAGACTGCTCTATCCAGCAAAGCTTTCATTTAAAATGGAAGGACAGATAAAGTGCTTCCCAGATAAGATCAAATTCAAGGAGTTCATCATCACCAAGCCCTTATTATATGAAATGTTAAAGGGACTTATCGAAGAAAAAGAAGTTTAAAAAACATGAACAGTGAAAGGACAACAAACTCACAGTTATTAACAACCACACCTAAAAGGAAAGCAAACTAAAAGGACAGCTAGATCAGGAGTGGAAACATAGAAATGAAGATCTCAAGGAGGGTTAGCAACAGGGGAGTGGGAGGAGGAGAAGGGGGGAGAAGGTACAGAAAATAAGTAGCATAGACAGTAGGTAGAAAATAGATGGGGGGGCAAGAATAGTATGGGAAATATAGAATCTAAAGGACTTGAGACACATGGTCATAAACTAAAGGGGGGGTAATGGTGGGGACGGGGGGGTAGGGTGGAGGGAAATGAAGGGGAGGAATAGAACAACTGTAACAGCATAATTAATAAAAAATAAATAAATAAATGAAGTGAAGAAAAAAAAAAGAAGTTTTAACAGTGAAGATCTTTAGTCCCAAATTGGTACACATATATATACCTCTCTGCACACATGCAAACACATGTATACATATGTGCACCACACATGCAAGGATTAGAGAAGTGGATTGGACAGGGTCATGAGGCAACAGGTCAAAGGAGAAAGAAGGCAGGCATAGGACACACGTAGAGAGAAGCCTCCTTCAACTTCCCCTCTGAATTACCATATTTATTACCCCTAAGGGCCGACAGTAGGAAGGAAAAAATGCAGGTATCACTGTTCTGAACTTAAATGCCATTCTGAAAGACAAATGAAGACATATTGTTTGGTCACAAAAATGGTGACTTAGTGTAGGTCCCTTGCTAAAAAATAAAGAATTTGTAGCAATTCAAGGGTCTTTCCATTTTTTTATGAGATCAGTTTTTAATAGAAGCTGACTGTCTTCTTTCCAACAAATTTCTTTTCTACTCTAACAAACCTACTGTTTATCTGCCTTTGAACAAAATTGGTATTCCCATCCATTCTCACTCTGCTCACACACACAAGAGTGCATGTGTGAGCAAGTGTGGCCAAACAGCATGTTTTTTCAAAGTCCTCACACCCAAAAAAGAAACAGCCACTGAAACGGCCCTGGAAAAAAGCATTTCTTGAAGAAAGATTTTTATTTAGGAAATTCTCAAGCACTGTTGACATTCTGTAATACCTTCGGCTTAGCATGACTAAGTTCCATTTTGTTTTTCCACCGATGCTATGTGCTAGTAGTAAATAGCAGTCTCCTTCGCTGAAGCCTGTGGTGGAATTCAGGCTCACAAGTTGTGGCTTACTTTTTACTGTCTCTTTCCTCCAGAGACAGGGTCTGTTTTGCTCACCACTGCATACCCAGCACACAGCGCAGTATCTTGCACATAGTAGGTGCATGATAATAAATATTAATGGCAGGACTCATGTCTAATTTATCTTTGGAATCTTCACAAAACTCAAAAGAAAGTGTACTATAAAGCAGGCAATCAGCAAATGCTTGTTGAATGAATGAATCAATGAATACATTCATTTCTGAGGAACTAACAGGCCAACTATTGCACAAAGTTAGCTCCCAAATTTTATCTTCCTGTTCAGCTACTTAGAAAGGAATTCATGATGATCAGGTCCAAAACTTGACTCATCAGTTGTCTGACATCCCAAAGTCACCTCCCTTTGCCTGTCTATTTCATGCTTCCTGTCCTCAGTGTCTCCTAGATGACAAGTCAGCACTCTTTCTCCCCAGATCTAACACTAAAGGATCTGGCTGTCTCTACCTCTCTGTGACCATTGACATGAATGGAGTATGTGGCAACAAGAGGAAGAAAAAGGAGACTGGCTCATCTCTCTGAATGAGCAAAAATCCCCTCCTTTGGGGACTCAATCATGTGTTGTCTAACAGAAACAAAACATGTCATCTTTGAGTTAATTAAATATGAATCATTGAAAGGACTCTGTCAAGCACAGGCCCTATTCTTATCTGTAAAGGAGTTCAACCATTGGATTCCATATGATGCTTTAATTGCCTGTTAGAGATCAAATGGTCATGTCCCTGAAAAACCACATCCATTCTGCTCAACAGACAACAGGACATTTTCACACTACACCCTCCATCTCTACCCCTGAGCTCCCTCCCTTATTCTCTCTCTTCTGCTATCTAAGGCTACTCTTCAGTCCCTCTGTGTAGGCACACATGTGGAAAGGGAGTGCACAGAAAAGACCATACCCTATCCTAGGAGCTCACTCAGCACAGTGCTCTTTCCACTTAAATGTCAGAACATGAAGGGATATGTCCCAGATTCCAGGGTAGTGAGCACAGCTAACCCCAGGCTTCGCCACCAGGGCTGCTTCTTGAGGGCCAGTCTGTGCTTAGCATAGGCTAAGGCCTGCTTCCAGTGAGCCCAAGGTCAACAACAAATAATGTATTGAGCAAAGAGAGGATGACTTACCTTCTAAGAATCCCTCCGCTGTCCACATATTTGCCTATCACAGAGCCAGACCTCTGTTTCCTGCTTGCCTTGGAAGCAGCTGTGTTTGCCTTGGCTGCCTTATCTTTCTGTAGAAACACAAATGGCCCTCAGAACCATGCCTGCTTGTTGGTCCCAGTGTTTGATCAGAAAGGGCTCAACTTTCCAACCTCATAGGTCAGGCTCTAAACAAAACTCTGAAATTAGCAAGCTATGTTCGGGTCTCCCAGCCAGCATTCACCTGCACTTCCCTTGTGGCATCACTTCTCACCAGAATTCCTTCACTTCCTATCTAATAATCTAACACAATGAACCAACACACAGTTTAGAGACTGGGGTCCATGATATTCCTCTTGACAGGACTATTGATAATTTTGCCAGAGACAAGAAGAGATAAATGTGGAATGAATAGGGAAAAGATTTATGAACAGAAAATACTCCATGCCTCTTTATTTTTTTAAAACAGATACTAGTTTTCCTTTTATTCTAAATGCTTCATGTGGCTAATAACAGAGATTTTCTTTGTCCAATGTCTTACTTGTTAATACAAAGTACTTTTTACCTTAACACTTTTCCAAAGGTTTTTTATATCTTAGCATTTTAATTTTTTAATTTTATTTAGTTATTTTTCAAGTATAGTTTTTTGTCTATTTCTCCCATCCCAGCCTCCCCTGCCCTGTGCTCCCCACCTCCCTCCCATTTCCACCCCCCTTAGTTCTCGTCCCTGTGTCCTTCCTATTTGTTCCTCCAAATCCCTCCCCCTTTTTCCCCCTTAAATTCCCTTCCCTCTCCCCTCTGGTCACTGTCCCCTTGTTCTCTATTTCAGTGTCTTTGTTTTTTTTTCTGCTTGCTTGTTTGTTTTGTTGTTCAGCTTCCTGTTAAAGGTGAGATCATATGGTATTTGTCTTTCAATGCCTGGCCTATTTCACTCAGCATAATGCTTTCCAGTTCCATCCATGTTGTTGCAAAAGGTAGTAGCTCCTTCTTTCTCTCTGCAGCATAGAATTCCATTGTGTATATGTACCACAATTTTTTGATCCATTCATTTACTGATGGGCACCTAGGTTGCTTCCAACTCTTGGCTATTGTAAATTGTGCTGCTATGAACATTGTGGTGCATAGGTTCTTTGATATTGATGTTTTAGGATTCTTAGGATATAATCCTATCAGTGAAATTGTTGGGTCAAAAGGCTGGTCGATTTTTATTTTTCTGGGACAATTCCATACTGTTTTCCATGATGGTTGTACCAGTCTGCAATCCCACCAACAGTGGACTAAGGACCCCTTTTCCCCACAACCTCTCCAACATTTGTTGTTTGTTGCTTTGTTTATGATAGCCATCCTGACTGGTGTAAAGTGGTATCTCATTGTGGTTTTAATTTGCAACTCTCTGATAGCTAACAATATTGAGCATCTCTTCATGTGTGTCTAGATCTTCTGTATGTCCTCCTTGGAGAAGTGTCTGTTCAAGTCCTTTTCCCATTTTTTAATTGGGTTGGGTGTCTTCTTAGAGTGGAGTCATGTAAATTCTTTGTATATTTTGGAGATTAAACCTTTGTCTGAGGTATCATTGGCAAATATGTTTTCCCATACAGTTGGTTGTCTTGCTAATTTAATACTGTTTTCTTTAGCCATGCAGAAGCTTTTTATTTTGATGAGATCCCATTTGTTTATTCTTTCCTTTATATTCCTTGCTCTAGGGGACATATCAGTAAAAACGTTGCTGCGTGGAATATCTGAGATTTTCTTGCCGATGTTCTCCTCTAGGACTTTAAATGGTGTCACGGCTTACATTTAAGTCTTTTATCCACCTTGAATTTATTTTGGTATATGGTGTAAGTTGGTGCTCAAGTTTCACTTTTTTGCACGTAGCTGTCCAGTTCTCCCAGCACCATTTGCTGAAGAGGCTATCTTTACTCCATTTGATGTTACTGCCCCCTTTGTCAAATATTAATTGACTGTAGAGAGTTGGGTTGATTTCTGGGCTCTCTGTTCTGTTCCATTGGTCTATGTGCCTGTTTTGATGCCAGTACCAGGCTGTTTTGATTACAACAGCCTTGTAATACAGTTTGATATCAGGTATTGTGATCCCTCCTACTTTGTTCTTCTTTCTCAAAAGTGCAGCTGCTATTTGGGCTCGTTTATGGTTCCATATAAATTTTTGAAGTGTTTGTTCTATGTCTGTGAAATATGCCATTGGTACTTTAATAGGTATTGCATTGAATCTGTCTATTGCTTTGGGTAGTATGGACATTTTGATGATGTTAATTCTTCCAATCCATGAACAAGGTATATATTTCCATTTGTTTGTGTCTTCCCTGATTTCTTTCATCAGGGCTGTGTACTTTTCTGCATACAGGTCTTTTACCTCCTTAGTTAGGTTTGTTCCCAGATATTTTATTTTTCTTTTTGCTAAACCGAATGGGATTTTTTCCTTGATTTCTGCTTGTGCTTATTCATTGTTGGTATACAAAAATGCCTTTGATTTCTGGATATTGGCTTTGTAACCAGCTGTTTTGCCAAATTCATTAATTAGTTCATTGCCATCTGGCATTATTTTGTTGAGGATTTTAGCATCTATGTTCATCAGTGATATTGGCCTGAAGTTTTCTTTCTTTGTTGTGTCTCTATCTGGTTTTGGAGTTAAGATGATGCTGGCTTCATAAAAAGAATTTGGGAGTTTTCCATCCTTCTGGATTTTTTGGAATAGTCTGTGGAGAATAGGGGTTAGCTCTTCTTTAAATGCTTTGTAGAATTCTCCCGTGAAACCATCTGGTGCAGGGCTTTTGTGTGATGGGAGTTTTTTGATTACTGCTTCAATTTCTTTTGCTGTTATTGGTGTATTTAGATTTTCTGCTTCTTTTTCATTGAGTTTTAGAAGATTGTATTTTTCCAGAAATGTGTCCATTTTCCCTAGGTTTTCAAATTTCTTGGCATACAGTTCTTCATAGTAATTTCTTACAATCCCTTGTATTTCTGTGGTATCAGTTGTAATCTCTCCTCTTTCATTTCTGATTGTGTTTATTTCTGTCTTCTCTCTTCTTTTCTTGATGAGCCTACTTAAAGGCTCGTCTATTTTGTTTATCTTCTCAAAGAACCAACTCCTGGATTCACCGATCTTTAGAATTGTGCTTTTAGTTTCTATGTCATTTAATTCTGCTCTAATCTTGGTTATTTCCTTCCTTCTGCTTGCTCTGGGCTGTCTTTGTTGTTGTTCCTCGAGTTCTTGCAGGCATAGGGTTGTTTGTTTGAAATGTTTCTATCTTCTTTAGGTAGGCCTGTATTGCTATAAACTTCCTTCTCAGGACTGCCTTCGCTGTGTCCCATAAGATTTGGGCTGTTGTGAGATCATTTTCATTTGTTTCCAGGAACTTTTTGATTTCTTCCCTAATTTCATTCTTGACCCATTTGTTGTTTAATAGCATACCATTCAGTCTCCATGATTTTGGGTGCTTTGGGTTTTTTTCTTTGGGGTTGGTTTCCAATTTCAGTCCCTTGTGGTCAGAGAAGAGGATTGGTATGATTTCAATTTTCTTGAATTTGTTGAGGCTTGTTTTGTGTCCTATCATGTGATCTATCTTTGAGAATGTTCCATGTGCATTTGAAAAGAATGTGTACTTAGCTTCTTTGGGATGAAGGGCTCTATATATATCAGTTAAGTCCATTTCATCTAGGGTGTTTTTTAATGCCACAATATCTTTGTTGATGTTTTGTTTGGAAGATCTGTCCATTTTTGATAGTGGGGTGTTAAAATCTCCTACTATAATTGTGTTGCTGTCAATATCTTTCTTGAAGTCCTCTAAGATTTTCTTGATATATTTGGGTGCCCCTATGTTTGGTGCATATATGTTCACGATGTTAATGTCTTCTTGGTGGATTCTTCCATTGAGTATAATGAAGGGACCTTCTGGATCTCTCTTTATGGCCTTTTTTTGAAGTCTATTTTGTCCGATATGAGAATTACTACCCCAGCTTTTTCTTCTTGTCCGTTTGCTTGGAAAACTTGTTTCCAGCCTTTCACTTTTAGTCTGTGATGGTCTTTTGTCCTGAGGTGGGTCTCTTGTAGGCAGCATATGTGTGGGTGATGCTTTCTTATCCATTGAGCTATTCTGTGTCTTTTGATTGGAGCATTTAATCCATTTACATTTAAGGTTATTTTGATAGGTACTTATTCATTGCTATTTTTGTACCTGTGTTCCTCTCTGTCTCCCTCTTTTCCTTCCTTCCCTTAAAGCAGTCCTTTTAATATTTCCTGTAGAGCTGGCTTGGTGGAGGCGTATTCTTTTAGACTTCTTTTGTCTTGGAAGCTCTTTATTTGGCTTTCTATCTTGATTGAGAGCCTTGCTGGGTAAAGTAGCCTTGGTTGTAGGGCTCTGGTTCTCATTACTTGGAATATTTCTTGCCATTCTCTTCTTTCTTGGAGTGTTTCCATTGAGAAGTCAGTAGCTAACCTTATTGGGGCTCCCTTGTATGTTACTTCTTTTTTCTTTCTTGCTGCCTTTAAAGTTATCTCTTTGTCTTGGAATTTTGCCATTTTGATGATGATGTGTCTTGAAGTGGGCCTCCTTCGGTTCCTCTTGATTAGGACTCACTGTGATTCCTGGATTTGTGTGACTTTTTCTTTTATCAAATTAGGGAAATTTTCTCTCATTACTCTTTTGAATATGTTTTCTATCCCTTGTTCTTCTTCTTCTCCTTCTGGTATTCCTATTATTCGGATATTATTATGTTTCTTATTGTCCTGCATTTCTCTTAATTCCTCTTCATTCTTTCTGAGCCTCTTTTCATTTTCTTGCTCTTTCTGTGAGATACTTTCTACCTTGTCCTCCAACTCACTAATCCTATCCTACGCCTCATGTATCCTACTCTTGAAACTTTCTACTGTGTTCTTCAATTCAGAAATTGTATTCTTCATTTCCTCTTTTCTCTTGCTGATATTTTCTATTTCCTTTTTCATGTTGATGTAGTTTGCAGAGAGATCATTGTAGTTCCCCTGTAGTTTCTGATAGCTCATTGTGAGCTCTTTGAACTTCGTAATAACCAGTGCTTTGAATTCACTATCTGATATTTGATTAGCCTCTATTTCATCTAACATTCTTTCTGAAGTTTCTGCTTTTTCTTTCATTTGGGGATTGTTTATTTGTCTTCCCATTGTTTCAGACTCTTCTTGGTAGTCTCAGCTTCTAACATTGATCTGTTCTGACACCCTGGGTTTATGGTGTGAACTTCTGTGGTATGATACTTGTGAAGTTCAGTGGTGCAGACTCCTTCAAGTATCTTGATGTTCTCTGTCTCCACCTACTCTCATGCTGGTCCTCGCACTGGTCCCTGGGCTGGTGGCCTACCACTGCTGAATGTCCTGGCTCCAGTAGCCAACTCCTCCAGTGCCCAGGCCCATTACTACGGCAGTGGCACAGGGGCTGAGAATGTCCCAGCTGCGTAGCTGACTCCTATGCTGCCCAGGACCATCACATGGGTTTGGAGTGTCCCGGCTCCCGTAGCTGACTCCCTGGTGCCCAGGCCTGTCCATATGGTGGCGGCACAGGGGCCTTCAGTGTCCCAGCTCCTGTAGCTGACTCCCCAGCACCCAGACTCGTTGCTATGGCAGCAGCACAGGGGCCGAGAATGTCCCGGCTCCCGTAGCTGGTTCCCAATGCCCAGGCCCGTCTCTATGGTGGCGGCACAGCGGCCTCCAGTGTCCCAGATCCTGTGACTGACTCTTCTGTTGCCCAGGCCCGTAGCTATGGCAGTGGCACAGGGGCCAAGAATGTCCCGGCTCTGGTACCTGACTCCTCTGGCACCCAGGACCGTCACAGGGGCTTGGAGTGTCCGGCTCCCGTACCTGACTCCCCGGCTCCCAGGCCTGTTGCTATGGTGGCAGCACAGGGGCCACGTTTGTCCCAGCTCCTGTAGCTGACTCTGCCGCTGTCTGGTGTTTCAGCGTCGGTCACAATCTCTGGTCTTTTAATTTTATAAATGCTGTGTAACTGATGGTTTATTGTGCTATTTCTCTATAGATCTGCCAGGATTTTCACCCATGAGTACAGGAGCTAGAATCCACTCCGTTCTACTCCATCGCCATCTTCCCAGCATCTCCATGCCTCTTTAAATCACACTCTCCTGCGTGACTCCAGATCTTTTTATTTGCAAAGCCTCAGATATGATAAGATAGCAGACCAGAGGATCAATTAACCCACTACCCTGACCACAACTACTAAGCTAGCACAAGGTACTTCAAACCTTTGGTGGACGTAGGCTGGGAGTGGATAAATTGCTCATACATCCATAATGGAGAGCCTGGGTGGGGTAGGGGCTTATACCCACTTTGCCAATGCTCCCTAATAGATGTCTTCCAGGAGATGAGAGGGAATTAGATCACAGGAAGAATCTCTCATTAATGAGCCATCCCCATGATTCCCAGTGATCTTTAAGGGGGTTGGCAGGACTCTCAGGGCCCCTGAGGGTATGCCTATAATGATTCCAAATTAATCTTTAATTATTATCCAGCATGAACATGATTTTATCCCTTTCTTCTATTCCTCACAAGGGTTCTTAAGTCCATTTAATTTTCAATGCAAAATGTGTTTGGCAGGTGAGGGGAAGCAAATTCAAAGGATTAAGATGACATTTGGTTGGAAGTTTAAAAATAAATTCAGTGTTACTTCAAAAACAATCCTATTATCATCATCAAACAAATGTGTAGGCTGGAGCCTTGCTCTAACAGTACACACAGGTGGGCAGCAGAGATGTTTGCTGCTATTCAGGGATAGAAAAGAAATGGTGGAACGAGGCCCCTCAGGGATCTGCAGTCATAAAGCAGGGCACACCTCCTTCAGGGCAAGCCAGCTGCCTCTGGCTGACTCCATTTAGGCCACTTTTCAGCTAAGAGTTCAGTGCAAGGCCTCTTTTCAAGAGTTTTTCTTAAAAATCCCTAAAATATGGGAAAAAAGGACAGGGATTCCCTTTCCTTACATGGTAGTCGGGGCCATGGTCCAAGGAGGAGAATGACTTGCCAAGGGCACACATGAAATTCATGATGCACTCATTCCAATAATCAAAACCTCATACCAATCAAACCTGCTCCCATTTTTCTTCCCTTAGAGCATCCAACCACTACTGTCTAAAAAGGGAAAATGTAGGGGAACCATGGGATCCTAGATTTGTTTAATGCAGCCCAACCAGAAGAGCTTTAAATAAACACAGGATGTCTTGCTATTTGGGAAAGTATGTAGTGTGGAGCTCAGGTTTGGAGGAGCAGAGGTCCCCACAGGGTAAAAAAAAATCAGACATAAAATCAACTATGCAAATTATAAGGCATACATTCTGAATTTGTTCTATGATAATGTAAAATGCAAAATTTTCATCAAGAGATCAAAGTTTTAATGAAAAATAAAAGTGCGAGCATTTTGATTTAAAATTGACCATGACATTTCAACTGTGCCATCTCATAGAGAGAACTACCATGTCTGCATCCAAGAAATGTGAGTCCCTCCCAGACATTTCTGTCTCATTATGCCAAGAGGGACATGTGTGACTTCATGGAAAATTAACACACTTACCCAGGAGGCCACCCTGCATTTTTATTATTTTCAAAAAAGCATATGCCATGGTCTTGCCCATACAAGAAAGAGCAACCAGACCCTGAGCCTCAGGACATTCCTGGCCACTCCCGGCTCAGGTTCTGTCTGCCATGGGGCCACAGTCCTTGTCTTTCCCCAGGGGAAGGGGGCACTGGGCATTTACCTGAAAACGTATGTCCCTTTCATCCCGGAGGTGCTTGTTCCTTTCCCTGCAAGGAAAAGGAGAATCTATTCAAACATGGAGTTTGGGATAGGTAGAGCCAATAGCAGCCAGTTTGCCATTTGGGTGGGTACAGAGGAAGGCTTGGTGTGTAAGGCCTAGGGAGTATGTGGAACCCTTTTCCTTAGTGATTATGGTTCATGCAGAGGGCAGTCTGTGTATACATCAGCTCAGAGGAAGGGGGACAGAGAGAATGGGCTAGTGGCACCTGTAGCCCTTCACATCAAGAACTGGTCTATACTGTCACCAAAAGAGCGTTCCCCAGAGGGTGACCAGGAGCTCCAGCTGCACCTGTAAGTTGCTCAGGTGCCTGCATGCCCTCTCTGAACCATTAATTTATGCCCACACCCACTCAACTAGTATGTTCTGGACACCCACTACATGCCAGGCACTGTTGTAGCTGTCAAAGTTATATCCATGAACAAAGGAAAAAGCTCCTTCCCTCAGAGAATTTGTACTTTAGTGCAGACATAATTGCTGCTGAGAAAAATAAAGGGGGAAAATGAAATAAAGCATGCCAAAGGGTGGAGTAGTGCTTCAGCAGAGTGGTCAGGGGAGCCTCACAGAGAACGCAGCATCTGAGCAGAGATTGAAAGGTGGGGAGAGGAGCTATGCAGGCAGAATGGCCGAACCCAGGGCTGGGGTACACTTGGTGTGTATGAGGAACAGCAGGAAGAGCAACAGAGTGCTTGAACAGAAAGCAGTAGGCAACAAGGTCCAAGAAAAGATGGGGTGGAGGGGACCATTCATAGCTTGTGGGCCATCTTAAGAACTTCGATTTTAACTCCAAATGAGAGATGAGGCCATGGTGGGGGCACAGGGTGTGAGGTGGTAGAGAAGCATCCTGATCTGACTCAGGTTTTCAAAGAAGCCCTGTAGGTGGTGTGCTAAGAATGGATTGCTGGGGACAAGGGTGAGGCCTTGAGAACTGGCCAATATTTTAAGCACCATGTTGGTCATTGGCTCTACTTTCCAATGTGGAATGTGGTAGAAAAAGCCTGACTAGTGGGGGAGAGTGTAAGGAAAGGAAATGGAGACAATAACTATAAGTGCAAATAATTCTTTTGAAAGTTTTGTTGAAAGTGATTAAAGAAATGGAAAGTAGCTGGATAGGGAGGGGAGGATAAGAGATACCATGTAAGAAATACTGTAATACATTTATAGGTCTCTCCAAAGGGAGGGTGCAGCCGTGGTCAGACCGTCATCATTATAACATGGCCATTCCCTGGGCACGGACTGTGGGCAGGCACTCTACTAAGTGTGCTGCTCATCACAGGCATAGAACAAAAACAATCTGGAATAGCAACCTCAATTTGCCAGTCTGCAGAATGTGCAGAACATTCAGAACATGTCGTAGTTGTTCCGTACCAGCCATGCGCATCTGACGAGCAGCCAGGCACACAGCCAGGGCCTTCAGAACAAGTCTGGAGGGAGGAGGAAGGTATTATCTCGTAAACTCTGAGAACAGCAAAGGGAGCTTCACATGCCAGAAGGACCCTCCCTCTGTGCAAGCAGTGATGTTCACAGCCTTGCACCTGGGTGAGTGCTCAGGGAGCCCTGGAGTCCCATCTTCATCAGAGAGTTTGCTGTTGTGCTTTGTGTAGTCATCTCTATGCAGAAGCTTCAGTATTTAAGGAATGTTAGACTCTTTACTTGTGTGGACTTCCACTCACATCACTTCCCTGTTGTGATTGCTACTTAACACCTATCATCTAATTCTCAGAAGAGGCCTGAGAGGTGGGCAGAAGATTAAGACTACAACTGATTAAGTCAAATGTCCAAGGTCACACAAGTAATGAGGGCAGTGCAGTGTCTTGAGCCAGATCCAGCTGCAAAGTGTATGTTCCTGACTCAGTGCCCTGAAATCACTTCCATTTGCCCCATTTCCCTCAGGAGGCCAGCCCCCTTGTCAACCAGTCACGTCCCAGCCATTGTCCTGATTCTACCACCACATCCCACTCCCAACTTTCTCTCCTCAATTTCTGTTTCCCTATTGTCCTGGGTCACCAGCTGATGACCTCTCTGTGGAGGAAAAAAATCTGCTCTGAGTCCTCCCCTTCCACATCTTGGCCTTCCCTGGCCCACAGAGTTTATGCTTGCTAACCACATAGTAGCTCCAGGCATGTGATTCTGCCAAATGCTGGGCTCCACTAAAAAGACCTAAGCAGCTGTAGAGTGTTGCCTAGTCATTCCCCTCTGTTCATTTGTGTTGAATCTGCCCTTTTCTTTTTTTAAGTACAATAGAAAAAAGGTGAAAAAAAGCAAACAAAACCTTGTCCTTGGACATCTTCTTCTCTGCCTTTCACTAAAGCCTTCCTAAGAATCAACATCTTCTTGCAAGTGGAGGAGAACTTGGCCACCTGAGTACCCCTTTCATCTCCCCAGCCTTTGGAGGCCTGTTTGCGGTGAGTGCGGTGAGTCTGAAATGCATTCAGTTTGAAGCACTTTTCAATTTGGTAGCATCATGGATGTCTGATACAGTGACCTTACCTTGTGTTCAAGTAAAAAAACAAAACCTTCATAACTTAACCGTTTCAAAACCACCTGCCCTTTATAACTGAGAACCCAAAGTCCTGCTTCATCACCTTTCCCCAGGAGGTGTTGGCAGGTAAAAGGTACAGCTGCTTAGAAACCTCACTTGCAAAACTGAAACGCCATCTTTCCCCACACGGGTTTGGTGGGTTTGTTGTTTTGGCACATTCCAGACCAATGACCTCTGAATTTATAATGAGTTTCAGCAGGCTAAGGAAACTACTTTCTTGATGCTCTGTTTTGACTCATTTTCAGGCAGACCTTGGAGATTGCAGACCACGGCAATAAAGCAAACATCGCTATAAAGCAAGTCACATGAATTTTTTGGTTTCCCAGTACTTATAAAAGTAATGTTTGCCCTACACTGTAGTCTATTATGTGTGTAATAGCATGATATCTAAAAAAAAGTACAAACCTTAATTTAAAAATTTTTTTCTTGCTAAAAAATACCACAAAACATCTGAGCCTTTGTAAAAAATGAGGCTAATAGACTTACTGAAGCAGGGTTGCCACATACCTTCAATTTGTAAAAAAAAAAAAAAAAAGAAGAAGAAGCAAGAAAGAAAAAGAAAAAGCAGTATCTACAAAGCACATTTAAGTGAAGCACGGTTGAACGAGGCATGCCTGTACTCTCATCCAACCAGCACTAATGGTAGGGCAGGGTAAAGAGAATCAGCTGGATGTGGGTCTCAATTCTGGCTCCTCCAGTAAGTAGCTGTGTCGCTTTTGGTAAATTATCTCATTTCTCTGATATCAACTTCCTCATCAGTTAACTCCTGTATTAACAACTGCCCTACTTTCCTAAGTTTTGTTGAAGATGAAAGGGTACTCTAGCCATTTGAACAATATGTTAAGGACAAGGAAATGAGGGTGCTGTCTCAATAGCTATGTTTTTCCAACATGGAAGACTCAGCTTGGCCCCTCTGCCTGAGGTGTCTGGAACATGCTTTCAGAGTGCATCCAGTGCTGACCCACCTGAGGAAATCCAGCTGCTTCAGGAGCCCCGACTTCTCCCGCTGCAGACTCTCTGTCACACGGTACACTTCCCTGAGCAGGAGGCAAACAGCAGTGATGAGTGACTATTCTGGGGTGTTAGCTATAGGGTATGAGGCACCGTGCTGAGGTTGGATGCCCAGGATCCCTTACACAACCAGCAGGCAGTGCCCTGCGCTGGGGATAGAGGGGTTAGAGGAATATGTCCTTCTTTGGAGAGTACCTGCCACATTCAAATGCTCACAACCATGACCTCAGTCATCACAGACACTGCATTTGGAAGGTAAAATAATCCCCAGCTTACAGACACAGCCGAAGAAGTTGGTCAGCTCTCCCAGCTCACACAAACAATCTGGCATCCTAATCAACACCTGCTAGCCCCAAACCTGCTCATTCCATAGCCACCCACATGCCACCTGCAAACGCAATTCTTTGACAACTGTACTGTTCTCTGAGGCTCCAAATGGCCCTGCAACCCATAGTTCAGGGAATTAGAATCAAAACTCTTCTCCAGTCCAGACTTGGAGGAGAGTCTGGACTGAGAACAGAGTTCTGAGAACAGAACTGGTATTCTTTTTCCCTAGATGCTTGTTTAGTTCATTTCCAGGAGCTCTCAAAGAATCATTTTCCTGCTTCACCTTCCCCCAACTCTCAAATCTGTTCCCAAATATCTGGAATTCCACAAGTGGTCACTCATTTCTTTGACTTAAGATTTCTTATCTCTAGCTATAAAGCAGGGATTTAATGCATCCTTTGTAACCAGTCATTTATATCACAGTGTAAACACGTCAATCATATCAGGAGTTTGAGGAAGGGAGAGAAAAGCTGAGAGTTACATGGGGCAGCCAGAGAGCAACTTAGCAAGGTAGGGGCATGTGTTCAGTTTGTTTGTATCTATATCCACACTGCAGGGCCTGGTATGCAGGCAGAGGTCACGAGTAGCAGCAGGAAGAAAGGCGGGCTGGGGAGGGAAGATGGAAGGAAGGATGGAGGGAAGGGGGGAGGGAGGGAGGGAGGGAGGGAATGGGTAAGTTGGAGAGGTATTCAACAGCACTCAGAAAAAAAGGGAAAAAGGCAGAATTGGGTGATATTGTAAAATAAACTTTGATTAATTCCACAATTTTACCTCCATCCTTTCCTTTGTGCTCTGCACCGTGGTCCATGCAAGGGATCCAAAGTTCTACATTTCTAAATCACAGCAAAGCCTTTAGTGTAAGGGACATCTTTTGGCCTGATAAATTTGTCACTTTCTGTGAGGGCACCTGGATGGTGCACACACCAGGCTAGACAAGGACAGTCACCCCTCTGCCACCCTGTCAATGCCATTATTGAGCTGGTGAAAATAGAATCAGCTTGCTGGGTCCATAAGACTTATTTCTGAAGAGGTATCTGTGGTGGGATTTTTCTCATTTATACAATAATTACAAAGTCAATTTATGGCAATAAAAGACTGAATAAAATTTTAAGTTCACCTCAGACAATCCTAATTAAGCAACAAAACTTCTCTGGCTCCTGCAGAGCTGCAAATTCCTAACATTTTATTACCAATTATATTTAATTTCATCTTGAGGGAAAACAATGTACTTCACATTATCCAAACTGGGTCCCCAAGCCCCTGTCTGGGATTCTGCTCTGATTAGCAGAGTTAGAGCTGCTCTCAGATGCCTCTGTGCCCGGGGAGCCAAGCTTGCCTGCTCCCTCTTTGTGCGGCCCCCAAGCCCAGTCCTGCTTCTCTCTGGGGGCAGCAGGGAGCACACAGATTTGCCCCCTGCTAAGGAAAACCACTCATTGAAGATCTCTGGTTGGTACTCACCAGAGATGATGGGTACTCACAGGGTGTTTGACTGAGGAGCCCATTCCTAAATAACGAGGTGTTCCAGGTCTCCTCTGGCCCTGTTTTCACAGAAACCAGCTGATCCTTGGAGCTATATGAACACACACATACACATATACACAAACACCCATATATTATATTACATGTTGATACAAATACATGTCTGTCTGTTTGTCAAGTAAACATACATCCAGTTGGATGGATATAGATAGATGGGTATACAGCTGACCCTTGAACAATCCCCCCCCCTGCAGTTGAAAATCCATATAACTGAAGCTGAGTCTCCACTCATACAGATGTCCACAAACCAGGGATAGAAAACACAGCTGACCCTTGGCCAATGTGGGTTTGAACTGCTTGGACCCACTTATATGAGCTAAGTGGACCCACGCAGTGCAAACTCTCATTGTTCAAGAGCGAACTGTATATGTATACAAATAGATACACATACTCAGGTTGTTTTGTGTTAACAAAAAGGAAAGCTTTTCTGGGGAATAATGGTGCTTGGATATTTGACTAAATGATCTTGAAAGTCCTTCCAACCTAGACATTCTAAAAGTTTATATTGGTAATATGTGAACTAAAAGGAAGAGAACTTGCCATTTTTCATCGCAGTGGTTGGGTGAGAGGTTTATGGTTGCCTTTAGGGAGCTGCTGTTGGTTTTGCTTTTAGGGGATGGATGAGCTGTGGGGCATGCTCCAAAAGGTATTGCCCAGTGAAAAACGCAGGCAAATGCAGAGTAATGTGCTACCATTTTGTAAATGAAAATTGTGTGTGTGTGTGCTTGCACTTGCATTTGCATATACATAGAATACTCTGGAAGGATCCACCAGAACCTGGGACTGGTGGCCTTGGGGTGGCTGGAGGCCAGGTGTGATGGGGCAGGGCTGGGGGAAAACTTCTTTGTAAGTATATATCCTTTTGTGTACATCTATTTGAATTTTGTGCCTTGTTATAAACTACCCCAAATAAAACTTAATTAACAAAACAGACAGAAAGGTGCTGCTTTTTAGCTGACCTTCATCTTTATAATGTCTTTCCTGCTCGATTGTTCTTTATTGTATTTTAAAATCTAATTCTCCTTTCTTGAGCAACTTCAGAGATTGGGAAAATGAATTGGTCCATTCAAAATTCTAGCTGCTAAGTGACTAAGTCCATTTATCTCTGAATCTTACTTACCCTTTCCCCTCCCACCTGCTCCAAAGTGGCATTGGCCCCAAGACACTGTCAGGAGAAGCAGAGGACATCAGAACTAGGCTCTGTCCCGTTTTCTGACTTTAACTAGCTGTGTCGCTTTGGGTCAGTCACTATACCTCTCTGAGTCTGTTTCCCCATTTATAAAATGAGAGATGAATTAGAGTATTAAGGTCCTATCAGTACTGTGGGTCTGGGGCTTAGTTCTACAGAGAAGAAGCTAAGGGTCTCACTCCCTTCTCTCCTGACTTCCCTGGACAGGACAGGGTATGCTCTCCTGGGCTCCACATGCTTTCTGACTGTACAGGACATTGCCAGCTTCTCTGAAACAAGCAGTGAAGTTTCTGGAATCATCTATCTCTTCCTCCTAACCCTCTTTCTTTCTTTTTAAATTCCCAACCTCTGGAGATTGTATCTCTGGCTTGGTTAATTAAGATAAGTCTTCGGGAAGGTTTTAATCCTCATGTTGTGATTTGTTACTCTATGCTGGATGCTCATTTCCATTTGCTGTTCTAATGCGTGTGCCTTCAGATGTTTGTTGCTCTTAGAATTTGATTGAATTTTAAGAGCCCTAAGCTTTAATTACGTTGATAAAGTTAAATGTCTGTGCCTTGTTGGACCTGTTCTCAATGAGGAGAAACTGATTTTGCTTATTTACAATGAAATATACTGTCCCTCCACTGCTCATCCAAGAATTGGAATGGAGGGGTTTTGTTTTACGTCAGCTACTTGGGAATATATATATATATTTAACTGGAAATATCTTACTAGTCTAAAACTTTAAATCCAAATACATCCCAGGCAATCAGTCCCGCATAGTACAAGACATCACACATGAGCCAGAAAGCAGGACATTTGATTTAGGCCAATGGACCAAGATTTTGCCAACAGTCAGAGAGACCAAGGACTTCACTTTTGAAAAGGAGAGAGAATATATGTATGACACCAAGCATTGGTAAGTAATGCTGACCTTTCCTCTGAAATCAGACTTTTCATCTTACCCAGCACAGGACCAGGCACACAAAAACATTTTTCAGAATGCATGGATGAATAAATGCATGAGTGTGTTAACAAACAAGTGAGTGAATGATGGTCAGTCCATGCCTATATAGTTTCTAGCTAGCTCAGTACTCCCTAGGAGTAGTCAGGAAGATGTATCCAGCACTAAGCATCACAGCTACTGAAAACTTCCAAACCTCAGTTTTCTCATCTATAAATCAAAGTTGATCATAAGAGGCCCTGCCACATCAGGATTCTGTAAAAGTCATATGAGATAATATATTGAATTATTGACATAAGTGAGGTATATTAAATGTCCAGCACAGTACCTGGAACAGAGTAATTTTCAATAAATATTTGCTAAACAATAAACACATAAATATATGGAGAAATTAATGAATAAATAAATGAGTGAGATTCCTCTCCCTAGGTCTTGGAGTATATTTGGTTTGAAAACCTAACACTCTTACAACAAGATAAATGCTAATGTTCCTCAGCAACTTCTCTAGTTTAACATACAGACCTTCACCTTGATTCTTCTCAGGAATACCTCTGCCTCACAAGCTGACCCCCATGGCTGGGCACCAAAAGCAGTTTACTAGCAAACCCGGCCCTGTGAGATGTGGGGTTCCCCCCATGGGGCCCAGAGAACTGGAGTGAAGACTCCAGGGCATAGTCACATGCCCCATCTAGTTATATGTCTGCCTCAGAAGTTTTTGGGCATCACTCTTACCCACTTTGTTCCCCCAGGTCTCTAAATTACAACAGTCATGTTCTGTCTGTCCACTCATTCAACATTTTCTCACAGGCTGCAACATATTTGTTGGTTGGATAATACGTCTTTCTGATCACATAATAAATTTTCCGAGAACAGAGCTGGATATTTCTTATTATCCTAGGTTATGCTCAACACAGTACCAGTCTGCTTAATGGTCTCAGAATCCTATATGAGATCTCAGGGAGCAAGGAGCCCAATTCCCATTTTATAGGCAAGAGGTCAGGGTCTCTGTGAAAGAGGGGAGAAAGCACGCTCACCACAAGGAGGGAGCTAGAGAGCAGAGAGAAGTACAGAAGACCAGACTCACATCTCCTTCTCCTGCTGGAGCTTGCAGGCCTCTTGCTGGAGGCTCTCCAGCTGCTGCTGGGCACGCTGCAGCTCCCGGGAGGTCCGCCCCAGCTCCTGGGCCAGCTCCTGGTTGGTCAGTTTCAGCTTGGCATTCTCGGCCTTGGTTTCATGCTTGTCATTATGCAGGGCTGTGCATCGACCTTCCAGCTGGAAAGAAATGGGGACAGAGAGGCATGGTGAGCAAGCACCATTGTCAGGCTGTCCTGCCTGGCCTCACCCAGCTTTCTCTACTTGGTGGGTAGGGATCATCACTGTCCTCCTTGCTGTCCCCAAGCCTCCATATGCATTGTTCTAGTCTTTCATTTGCATGTGTACACTTCAAGAGACAGGAGGAGCTTCCAGTGCACATCTATCTCATCTCCCCACTGTCTCCACAGGGCTACTAGGAGGGGAAATTCCATATCCATATGCATCTCTCATCTTAATGATGATGATAATAATCATCATCATCTCATCAATGGTCTCAACAATAATCTCAACAATGGTCATCTCTTCAATGGCCTGGAGATCTACTGTAAATCCTTCCTGTTGTCCTTTAAGCCAATTTCTTCTCCTTGGCCATCAATGGAATGGAGAACAGCTAAGGGGCATCCTTTTAAAAACTTCCTTCTAATTTTGAATATTGAGAATAAATCCATCTATTACCTTTCCTTCTCTCAGCTGCATAAATTCAATTCCTTTAATCTACAGAAGCCTTGTATGGTAGCCAGAAATGCTGAAGATTCATAAGTAATAGCTATAACAGGTCAAACCAATGTATCCCCTTTCTCATGTTCCCAAAGCAACTGAAAACCTGCATGTGTATAACTGCAGCTTTTCTTGGCTGGTTAATATGCTTTACGGAGCTTCCAACCTTCTCACTAGAGGAAGCATCAAACCAAAGCAAATTTATTATAATAAATTTACTTTAATGAATGTGGCCAGTGAGGGGAGGAGGAAGAAACAATGAGGAATTTTGTGTGATTCTCAAGAGGCTCCTGTGTAATCTGGTAAGCATTCAGTAATTAAATTGAGTGGCAATCATTCATGTGAGGGATAAATCTCATTGGTAAGGACTTGATGCATAATAGTGTGGAGGAGGAAGAGTAGGAGAAGCAAAATATGGCTGTAGAAGGGGGATGGGAAGTCACCTGGTAGTTCCTGGAATTGAAATCATCTTGTTGCAGAAGAAAGAAACCAAAATCCATAGATTGGGTAGCAGCAGGAGGGAAGCAGTCTTCATCTTTAGCATGAGGTGCCTTCAAGCTTATTTTAATGTGTTGCTTAAAATAGCCCTCTTTATTCAAACAGAAGCAATGTGTCTGGGCATGTCCAGGGCTGGATTCCTTCCAGCAGAAGGAAAAACAGGAGGCCAAGTGGCATTCTGTCCTCTCTTCCACAAGCCCTTGCTTCGGAGAGGATGCTATGAGCCTGAGGTTTGCTAAGGTAATGAATCTTCCTAAGGTCATTAGACAGGTGTTCCCAGACATAGTGGATGGACACTGCCCTGCACAAGGCATCACCCAGCATGCCTGCTGGGGGCTCAGGTGCATCAGAGGAGTGTGTGGTGCCTGCACCCACCCTATGGAATGATGGAACAGTCACAAAGGAGGTGATAAACCTCATATGGGGGATAATGGGGAAGGAAAATTTGACCCCTGAAGAGCCCCTTCCAGCTGGAGGAATCCATGACCATCCTGGTGGGAAGACTTTACTGTCTGCAGCATCCCCCAAAGTGCCAGTGACTGTGTACTTTGTACCTTAGCATTCCCCTCTTCTCTTGTACAGCATGCAGAAAACAAGTGAACATTTTGGCATTTGGGTGGCTTCTGGGAACAATTATATGACCATGCCTGCCAATACGTTAAGGGAGAATTCCTAGCAACTTCTCAAGTTAAATACCTGGCTGTGGAGAAGTAAAGGCTTTATCCTGGAACCATTCGTGATTTCAAATGCTACCTTTATACAATGAAATGCTTATTCTCAGACTGAAAAGAGACATCCTTTTAAAAAATATATTTTATTTATTTTTAGAAAGAGGGGAAGGGAAGGAGAAAGAGAGGGATAGAAACATCAATGTGTGGTTGCCTCTCATGTGCCCCCTACTGGGGACCTGGCCTGCAACCCAGGCACATGCCCTAGACTGGGAATTGAATCAGCAACCCTCTGATTCGCAGGCCTGCACTCAATTCACTGAGCTTTGCCAGCCAGGGCTGAAAAGAGACATCCTTAAATGAATGGCAGAGACAGTGGGCACAAGCCACAGCAGAGGATGCTGGGAGACTAGGCAGGTGGGGGCACAGACAAGACCTACCCATTTCTGCTTCTGAACGAGCTGCTCCAGCTCCTGCTCCTTAGACAACAGCTTCTGTTCCAGCTCCTGACTGCGGGCCTGAAACCTCTCTGTGTCCTGCCAAGCCAGACAAGGGGACATGTGAGGCCATGTACTTAAAAGCACCTGGGATGGTGATTTTTTTCCCACCTTAAACCTACTCAACAGCAGGTCTCACCGATACTTTTGGACTTTGGGGCCCTCTCCGAAACATTCCAGGGCCCCAGTGACCTGCCAGCTGGTTGGTGAGGCCTGATGAGACGGAGATCACAAGTGCTCAGTGTGGCTTAACTGGGACCATGCACCACTCCCCCCAAAAAGAGGCAGTATCTGTAAGGGGGTACAGAACTGGTAGAAGAGAATGGGGGCCTGAGGTGAAATCTTAGGCTCAGTCTCCTTATCTGAAAATTGGAGGGTGAATCATCCTCCCAACTTGGATATTCTTATTCTGTTCCATGTTGGGCTCTGTCATTTAATCCCACAAATGGCCCTCACTCTGGAAACACAGGGTATCACTTCTTGTGAGTGTAGATCCTTCCTGTTTCCCCGCCTGTCTGAGGTTTTCCAGGCCTTCTAATGTATCTGCCCCAGTGCTCCATAGCCCCTTCCCTTCTACCCCAGATCTGAGCCTCCCCACTCAGGGAGGCCCTGATGATGCACGTGCCAGGGGACCTGGTTGTGGAATTAAAGAGCAACGTGGGGAGGTTGTCAGGATGCCTGACACTCTCAACAGAGCCTGGTATAGTGTAAGGGCCCTGAGCTGGGTGTCAGGAGACCTGAGTTCCAGGCCTGGCCTTGCGCACCTAATTTGCTTCATTCTTCTAGATCATAGCATTTTTGTTCATAGAATAAAAAACAAAAATATCCATGCCACATGTAGCGCTCTACTGGCTTGAAGGCAGAATAGGTGCAAACCATGCAGGAAGAGAAGAAACCATGATCACTTTCATGTAGCTCACTGCAGGAGCCTCAGGTTCCCTGCTACAGGGAACGACACCTTCCCAAGGAGGACAGCCCTGGGGGGACACAGAGTAGTTGGCTGTCTGCAACCTGGAACAGGGCTCTCACCAGAATCTGAGAGTGCTGGCACCCAGATCTTAGACTTCTAGCCTCCAGAATGGTGAGAAATACATGTTTGTTGTTTGTAAGCCAACAAGTTTATGGCACTTTTGTAATAGCAGTCCAAACTGACTAAGACAGGAGGCCACTGTTTAAGATCAAAGACTTTTTTGCTGAAAACCCACCAAGTAGATAATCCAAAAATGGATAATAGAGTTTTCTGTAGTTTTGTTTTATGAATATGTTTTATGAACATGGATATGCTTATCTTGGCTTGGAAAAGTTGGTGCTTTTACCAGTTCTGACCTCCCAAGACAAATAGCAGGGCTTGGTAAGAGGCTAAGAGCCAGACTAGAAATAGAAAATGTGAGTTTTAAATTCTTCCTATGGTATTTGAGAAAGGCAGAATTTGATTTGTCTTGGGAATTAAAATATCTAGGTGTCTAAGGGGAAAGGGTAGGATGTACAGGCTCTAAGGATGGTCCCCTCAGGGGAGCTGTTGGTCACAGACTGGAATGGGTGGATGCATTTGGGTGGGCCTGCCACCTGAGTCTAGAGACCAGTCAATGTCAGACCCGGTCTTCAGGCTGCTTCAACTGGTAAAGCATGCATCTTCATCCTTTTATTCATTTATTTGTTCACTTGTTCATTCACTGATTCAACAAACAGTTGTTGAGCATATACTATGTTCCAGCCATGGTCAAGGTACTGAGGATACATTAGTAAGTAAAAGTTAAAGATCCCTGCTCTTGTGAAGTTTACATGCTAGTAGGAGACAGACCATAATCAATAAAAATGAGTAAGTAAATTATATGCCACGTTTGAAGGTGACAAATGCCTTGAAATAAATAAATCAAACAGAGAAAGAAGGAATCAACAGCGCCATGGGTGAGGCACTGCCACCCTAACTTGGGGAAGGCCGTCAGTAGGCAAGATTGACCTGGCCCGCCAAGCCAAGCCCTAGGAGGGGACTCTTACTTTCAGAAGAAACCGTTCCTTCTCACTTTTGATTTGCTGTTCCATCTCCTCATATAGATGCTGGATTTCTTCATCATAAGTAGCAATTTTCCTGCAAAGATGGCAAAAGGAGAGTCTGTGAGGTCTACACTGAAATTACCTTATCCCACAGAAGCAAGTCCTGGGACCTGGGCACTGGAACCTCACCTGGAGCTGTGGGTGTTGGGGGGACACTGTGCAGGTCAGGTCAGCCAGAGCTGCAGGATAGGTTCCTCAGGATCCACTGACCACAGTACAATGGCCAGCAGGACCCCCTCCTCCTCCTGTTTCTGGGCCATCACTCCTAGCCATGCACATTCTCCCCCATGAAGCCTCCCTGGCTCCATCTTCCTTTACTCTGCTTTATTTCAACACCAAGGCACCAGCTTCTGCTATTCTCACCCTTCCTCCTGCCCACTGAACCCACTGCTGGTAGACAGTATAAAGTTGTGTAGACTTCTTTCCTATTTGGTTTCTTGTTCTACCTCATTCTCACTTTGGATGCATTCTCTCTACCTGGCTACATCAGTACTGTCTGAACTGTCTTACATCAGAGGGCTTTCCTAAAATTGTGCCCTGAAGTTTGTATGATACACATTTCTCATGAGATCTGAAAGGACTGTATGGCCATGACAGCCACCACCACTGCACCCCCTGCAAAGGGAGGGGCCGCATATGTCCAAGTGCTCATGCCCTCTGGGCCTGGGGCCACAGGCAGATGTGAGGCGGGTACAGGCTAGAGTTACAACAAGGTGACTGTATCCCCACTCTCAGCATCCTCTCTCTACTCAGAAGAGCCTCACATAATAGGAAGCACATGGGTACTGGGCTCCTACACAGAGATGAAGACAAAGTGGCTGTGGGGACAAGGTTTGTAGGTCACCCTGGGGTTGGTCCTCCTTCTCTCCTAGTAATACCCTCCACCCCTTGCCCCATTCAAACAGGACTGACCAAGTATTAACATTTGAACTGAGCACTAACATTCCCAGGGGACTGCATTTTTATACCTGTTATCTGACCTACAGTGAAAGGCCCAATCTCTGCCCTCTTTCTGTCTTATTAAGGAATCTTCAGGCTACAGTGAACAGGCTGAGATCATGGTTCTTAATATCTGTTTTGAGCACGTAACACACACATCCTTCAAATTTTGGCACTTGTTGTAAACTCAAATGATGGTAAGCTCCTCTGCCCTTGATTCAAGTAAGGAGACTTTATAATTGAAGAAAATGTCCTGGTGCTCAGTTCTAAGAGGTACTGGAGTGATTTCTGAAGAAAACATCTGAAGAATACATAAAAACATAATGTATTTATTACCCTGAGCCTTCCATCATTTTACCCCTATCTCTCTAGGTCCACTTGGGACTATAATCCAGTGCCAGCTGTCTCTGCAGCCCCTTCCTCACTAGCTCCCTGTGGAGGAGCATTCACACTACATGCACAGACTGAGCAATGGCTGAGGAGACACAGTGATTGGCATCTTTCTAACCCTACAGAAACCACAAAGCTGACCCAGAGAAAGGAGTTGGTGTAAGTCTCCACAGTCAAGGTCACTTAGATCAGAGCACCAGCCTCTGCATTCCCTTTCTTAGCTATACCTGCAAAACCAGAAACCTGACTTTGAGTGAGTATGGCAGTGGCCCCAGTATGTACTCAGCAAAATGTGACAGCTCTCCAAGGCTTCCGTGAACTGGGTCCCTGTATTTACCATTGTGTTTGACATCCTGGATTGTTGGGAACTGCCCTGCCTGGTTTTAGAAGCTGTAACCCCCCATTGCTAAGGCTGAATGAGAGACTTTGGGACCATAAGACACTAAAGAGACAAAGCTTATCTCCCTGGCAGAGGCACCACTTCTGCCCCTTTTTCTTCACCCTGCCTGGCCCCCAATGCTTGATTGGTTAGCCAATGACAGGTAAGATTCCTCAAGGGAGGAACAACCTAAGACAGGCATGATCATGGAGACCCCCAGGGAAGGACTTGGGGGGCTACAGCAAAAGGGGGTGATGGACCCTCACCCCTCGGCTTGACATAGCCTGAGTCCTCATTCTGTCTGTAAGAAGTCTCCTAATCTCTTGGCTGCCTTACTTTCCCTGCTTGACTTAAGCCTGAAACAATGACAGAGGGTGGTACAGCCCTGTGATGGAAAGGGCGGGTTCCCTGGGTGATCAGGCCTAAGAAAGAATACATAAAATCCTGTGAAACCTGCTTTGCTAAGAATGTCCTCAATTAAATGACAAGGGCTGGGCAGGAAATGAATTTGTTTTCCAAGGTTTTATAGCCCGTTAGCTAACAGACCCTGACTCAGAATAAGCCCTAGTAGTTCTTTGTATGTTATCTATTGTTTGATCCTTACTGCCTGACAATGATTAATGAGCTTTACCTGTATTCCTGTGCAAAATGAAACTAATAAAAGCCCATTGAGGAAAAGGTTCTTGGTCCTTCTCCTTTGAGAAATTAGCCACTTTTCCTCCCCAAACAGATCATGTTTTGGTGGACTCTCATCTGTGGCAGACGGGGGGCTCTATGGGCAAAACTCCCCCATGCTGGATATAACAAATATTTTTTTGTATAAGAGTAAGAAATCTATTCTTGGTAAATGACAGATGTTTTGGATTGTTACCTTTGTTCTTACCCAACCCATAACAATTACAAGAAAATCTTAAGAGAGAAATAAGGAGCAAAGTCATCTGCTGTTAAATAGGAACATCTCAGGGATAGAAATGAATACAGTTTGAAAGAACTTTCAGAAAGAAGAATGGTCTTTCTTTGGGTTCCTGGGATTATTAGAAACTCAGATACTAGATGGCAAATGGTGTCAAGGAAAACTTAAGACCACAATTCCATCTACATAAATAAATACTAAAGAATTAATAAGGTGAGATGAGATGAACTAAAAAATTGATTCGGCTCTGTTAAAGCAATACTAATTACAGTCATTCATATAAGCTGTTTACATTTATGCCTAACAACCATGCAAGGCATTAATTCTATACTATCATTAAGTGTATTACATTAACTTTGCTCTAAGCTTTATTTGATTAAATTAATAAACTATATTTTGGGGGCTCACAGATCAGTTTGCTAGTCATAAAGTAATTTTGCAAACTACTAAAAAAACAAAAACAAATGTCAGGAAGGCAGATGTGGCCTCTGAAAGGTCTTCACTGAAAAGGGCTGCTCCACTGCAAAGAAGCTCTGGAAGTCCAGGTGGGCAGTAGTGACCCTGGGCCCAACCAGACTCATACATGGACTCAAGCCTCTGGAACTGCGTCAGAATCAAGCTGGCCTCCTGGGAAACTGCCTAGGCACAAATGACTTTCGAGGATGAGCCTGACTTGTGACCGCCTGGATCAGACACAGGAGATGCCAGCTCAGGAATCAAAGCCCTGAGTGCTGATCCCAGAGCCAGCTCATTTCCTCTATGTGACCTTGGGCAAGTGCTCTGACTATATATCCCAGAGGAGCACCTGCCCACGTTCCTCTCAACACTGTCATGATGAATGACAAGTAAAAAAGAGCACATGGAAAGCATTTGGAACTACAAAGCCCTCTATAAGTGTAGGGTTTATTTATTATGGTAATTATCAATATTATCAGGGGCTGTGGAGGGCATGGATCAGCAGTCCTCCATGGGACGAGGGCCTCAGTTCCCAGGATAAAAGGGCTGCTGGGTTTGAAAAGGGTCAGAAGCAATCTGGAAGATGAAGAATAGAAAGCTTAGTCAATAAAAAACTGCTGACAGACCAACCTGTTAAAGACAAGGCAGCGTGAGAGCAGGAGTCTGTCTGCTGGGACCTGGGGGAGACGCTCTGAAGAGAGCTGTGCACAGGTGTGTGGAGGGTAGCCAGATACACTGTATTCTGTCATCAAAGGAAAAAGGCCACCTATTGTGTCTGCTTATCATATACATTTCATTGCCACCCCTTCTAAAACCACTATTATTGCTTGATGCACACATAGACTTTGAAGTCTTCTCCATGGGGATCTCCCCATCTATTCCAACCCTCACTGATCCCCTTCTCTGAACTCTTAGGACACCATATGTCTTTATTTGACATTTAATTTTAAAGTCCTGAACAACTGTTTCATTTTGGTTTATGCTGTCTCAACTAGGTTATAAATGCCCAGACATTTATACCACCCACAGGTCCTATGCTCAAAATGTTAACGGTTAAGACTTTGGATACTAAACTCAGAAGCCTGTGTACCATCTTGGGGGAATACTAGATTCCAGGGGAATTGAAGAATTTCAGGGTTGGAAGGACTGTCTGATACAATCACCTATTCTTCCAATGCTAAAATCCTAACCACAATAGCCCAACCAAGTATTTACCCAGGCTATTTTAGAATGCCTTCAGTAGTTGGGAACTTGCTGGACCTCTAAGCAACTCTTTCATCTTTGGAATATCCTGGCTCAAAGAAATATGTTTTTCTATGTCTGTTTCCCTTCTCTCCGTAAAACCTTTCACATATTTGAAAAAGCATTAAGATGTCAAGGAGTAGCCTGGGTTCAGGCCATGCCTCTCCGCTTCCTCTAACTATGTCTCACATGAAGTTGTTGTTTTTTGTTTTTTGTGGTTGTTTTTTTTGTAAATCCCCTCATCATTCCCTTTACTCCTCTCAAAATGGGCTCTCATTTAGCTTCCTCAAGTCATAGAGCCCCAAACCCAGTGCCCTGCATATGAAGTCTGATCAGTGCAGATTAGAGCAGGACTATCGCCTCTCTTGTTCTAGATGTGGCATAGCTATTCATGCAACCTGACATCACATGATTTTCTTGGCAGCCACATCATAGCTGGTGAATGATAAACCCATTTGTCAAATAAAAACTCTAAACTTTGTGGCTCTGTGGTTGTTTTTGTTTTTAGATGGTGCTACTGAATCCTATCTCTCCCACTTTGTGCTTCTGCCTTTGGCTTTTTGGACTTTGGCAAAATCTAAAATGTAATTCCGTTAGATTTCATGCTTGTTAGATTCAGTCCATCTTTCCAGCCTGTCACCATCTTAATGAATCCCAACTGGTTGTTTAGTGCACTCAATGAGCTATGTTTTATTGGTATTTTAAATTTTCAATC